CCCTACAGTCACAGACAGCCTAAAGGTGAGTTCTGCTCTGTTTATGAGTGGGATGAGGGCAGTGAGAGATCTCCTCCAGACTGCCTCAGCTGAACTGAGCCTTCAGCAGAGGGTCAACTGCCTTAGTGGCATCCTGGCTACAGGACCGGTAGTTTGGGATTTGGCGGAAGAAGCGTAGAGACAGAGATATTTGACCTATTAATGACTTCAGGGTCATGGACAGAAGCCCTTTTGCAGGTAGAGTTAGAGGGCTACATGCTGTTCCCTGTGCCTCTGTCTTTCATTCCTTTTAAAAGCAGATGAAGCATTGCTTTGATATGCGGCCTCACGATGTAGCAATTAGGGCTATTCACACACACAAAGCCAGCAATCTAAGACCATTTACATATCTGAGGTTTACACAGGCAATTACATGGAGGGGCTTTACAAGGGCACCCACCTGGATTTAAATCCAGACAACATGAAAAGTGCTTTGCATAGTTTCATTAGAGACACTGAGTTTTTCTATATTTGTTGGAGAGCTTAGAAAAATGAGTCCAGTGCAAACAGAGCTGTGACAGCAGAGGGATGGTGGGAGAAAGAAGTGCAGTCCTACAGTGCCACCTGTTGGCCAATATGAAATCACTGAAGATATTTCAGAAATAAAGAGAACCTTGGGAGTTTTATTTGCCATTGAGCACAGATTCATGGGTATGCCATACATCTTCCAGTCTCCATTTCCCAAATGACCACCTGAACGTGGTAAAGACTATGCAGGCACTCAACAATAATCAGGTTACTCACTCCAAGCATCTCCGTGCACTGGGCCAGATGCTTAGGTTAGGTAATCAGATCACTACTGCCTATGATAAACTATGAACATGGTGCACTAAGTGCTGCAGTAGCACAGCAATGTAGAAGGACTGAGGGTTCTTGAGGAACAGACTGATACCTACTGCACTACAACACCGTTTCCCAAATCCTCAGAGACCCCCAGACGGTCCATTATTTTTGCTGGATCTTAGCTAAATAGAATAGTCACTTCAGAGATGAGCAAAAGCAAAGTGGTGAGTGCCAGGCTGGTCTGGACAGGTGTACTTCCAGGTCACGTTAGAGGGGAAAGAGTCCTGAACGTCTGCTAGGTAGTGGCTCGACGACCTCTTTTATACAGGATGCCGCCCCCTTGTAGCAAATTCCGTACCTGCACATAATGCGACAGACACACAGAAAGAAAACACACAAAGCAACATACAAAACAAGTCTAAAATACTGATTTCCTGGCAATTTATACGTAAAGAACTTGCACGAGCTACGTACTTTTTACTTACATAGAAGAACAAGGATAAGGAATGTAAAAACGTGTGAAAGCGATAAGAAGTAATACATTGTAGAAACCATTCGATTAATTTCTAAAACAAGGCAAAGGAGGCCTTCTCTAATCTACACCAAAACTACATATGGCCATCATCACAGTACTTAAACAATCTAATTCTAATTCAAAACCTGGACTGAAGACTAAATAGTAGCATAAGGGCTTTCACTAACTGGCTGAGCCAAATTTACTATACTAAGGAGCAGAAACCAAACACACTGAGCAAAGTATTAAAACAGCTGCCTGTGAAGTATTACTTTCACATTTACTAATGGTTATTCTGTCCAGTAACTAAGTTAACTAAGTTACTGAAAAGTAGTCACTCCACCTATTAAATTACAAAGGTTAGACTAGGAGTTTTCATAAAAATTCAAGGTGTTTGATGATATACTTCAAATACTAATTTGTAACTTCAGTAGTGTCACAGACTCCACTTAACAATAAACAAAGATAATCAAGGAGCAACCAAACAAATACAACTGCTCAAAACAAATGACTGGCAAAAGGACCACATACAGCTCAGAAGGAGGAGTACCTTGACTGGATAACAAAGCAGGCATGGTAGCACGCACACTCAAATCCTCATGCCAACAGCAAATCCAGAATGCGATTGCACAACAATTGCATTGAGAGCTCCTGCTACCACACAGTTACTTACATACACACCTCCCCCACCAACAGAAAGCTGCCAGCAAACAAAGAAAACACAAATATTCGCCTGACAAAATCCCAGACAAGCCCCCAATTCTGTTATAACCCTAATAGAAACTGAGAGTTGAGATCTGCTGCCAGACCAAACAAAACACAGTGCTTTTACAAGAAACCAGCTCATGTTTTTTTATTATTTCCTCAAAAGTCTCAATGCTAAGATGCTAAATTACATGGAATAGTTACTTCAGGGATGAGCATGTGCTAGAACAATAAACAAAACTACTGAGGATTTTACAACCGACTAAACCAGAAAATAGAGTGACACAAAAATACAAGCTACCCTACGTCCCTGCTTGGGAACAGGAGAAAACATCATCAAAACAAAAGGCAGTCGGCCTCTACTTTTCCCAAAATGTACAGTTTCACAAAGTCATAGTTTTCACGAATTTAACAACAGCAACAGCAAACAAAGTGAAACAAAGTGAAGACTGCCAGGCTGGTTGGGACAGGTGTTCTTCCAGGTCACGTCAGAGGAGAGAGAGCCCTGAACATCTCCTGATAGAAAGAAATGGTACTAATCCTGAAGGAAATATATCAGGACAAGCTATAAAAATGTGTAGAATTTCTTCACAGTTACAAGTGACTATAGGTTTACAAACCACATCACACCCCTCTTAAAAAAATGACTGTGTTCTTCCTTCTGTACATATTGACTGCTTTATCTCTTCATTTCTGAGCTTTGGTTTCTCCACCCTGGAAACCAATTACTGCAAAGCCTGGCCAGGGGATCAATGAGCTGGCGAGACTCCTCTGGGCAAATATCAGCACTGATCATGGAGAAATCTGATCTCAGACCCAACAGGCTTCAGCCACTGTGCAACTCTTGTCCTTAGTTGTGTTAAAAAGTACAAGGGCAGCGCCACTCACAGCCCATATGGCTTTCTGGAGAGCTTTTTACGAACATCTGTTGTGACTGAGCACAAATGGCAGAATATTAGAGCTGAGAGACAGAAGGGCTGGAAACATCATTATGAATGAGGGAAGGTTTTGAAGTCATCTAATGAAGTATTTGGCACTAGAGGCCAATTATATTCCTGTAATTCTACACAGTGGTTCTTCTATTGCTATTGATTTATTCAGCACCTGCCATATGTTCAGTATTTGCAAATACAGATTTCCCTACAGAGTACTTTCTGTTTAAGCAGTGGACTAAAATTGGAATAAAATTGGAATAAAATTAGGCTTTTTTTTCTGCAGCGCATCTGAAATGACCTTTGTCTCTGAGTGAAAGGTTTTAAGCATGCTACTGCAGCTGATCTGGTGTTTTTGTCTCTTGTCACTTGGGAACTCTGAGTTTCATCTTGCAGCCACGTCGGACACAGGGCCAATGAAAACAGATTCTGAATTCCTGAAGCAGAATCAGCTCACAGCATTCAGTATGCCCAAGAGGCTCACCTCTGCCAGTTAGCTGGAAGCACAGTAGCTAATGTGTATGCACCCGATCTCTGTTTATTATTATTTGTGAAAAACAGTATGGCTCCAGTTAACATCCTCATCTTAGCAGAATTTTATTTGAGAAGTTAATAAACAGACATGGCAGACTGTATGGACTTCTGCACCTGTATGGAACAACTTGCTACAGCAGCTGCTTATCATAGAGGGAAAATCTACAAATTCCTAGTTAAAGGGACCGTATTCTCCTCAGTTTTGTCCTTGAAGTTTACTTATGATGTTTATGTGGGTTTATGCACCACAAAACCAGTCACAATTCATTACATGACCATTTTCCAATCTCACTGTCTTTTGGATTTAAACTAGCTGTTTTTTTTTGTTACTGTGCCTTTAAGACATATCTGTAAATGATCTCTATTTCGACTGGTTTTCCTGTATTGTGCCTCATTCTAAAAGCAGCTAATAAACGTCAGCAATAAAATAAACTTCAGTCACTTCATTTGGGTGTCTGGATGCTTTTGGAAGGTTATACAGTGATGCATTAAACAGCACAATTTTGAGCTCCTTTCTGCAGGTCCCTTAGCATCCATTCCATCAGTGGTATAAAAATTGACTCCAATATTTTGAATTACTATGATCAAATAAAATATTTTTCCCTGTAACACTGTTGGCTGTGAGTGAAATGCTATTACTCTGTTAAGCTGCTCGTCAGCAATACTGGGCGAGGAGGGGGCAGTGAGAATTCCCTGCTGTGAAAACAATTCATACCATTTCACAAAGACGGCTTTGCCAACATAAAACAGACTGCAGCTGTCTTGATATCAAAAAATCGTATACAACTGTATACAAAAAGCATTTCAACACAAAACACGTTTAGCAATGTTGCGTACTCACCTACAAAGATGAAAATCCAGATCACTTCTGGTTTTGTAAATCATACACATTTCCATCAAAATATATCACATCAACATTGTTGAAGAAAAAATACATAACGCAAAAACTGAGACCTTCAAAACAGCTGGAAATTGCATTTTAAGGCTGCAGTAAAAATGAAGTTAATAACTTCCCCCAACGTTAGCTGCTACAGACCATCTACAGTAACAACACTCCTTATCACTTCAGCATGAGAGGGCAGTTAATCTACTGTGTGGTGGATGGACCATGATGACATCATGATGGACTGTTTTTGCGGCCTCCATATCTGGACTGTGTGGACTGGGGAGTGAATGGTACATTTAGCATATTAAATCAAACTTGCTCCTTCATATGACGTTCCACTGCTTTTTCCTGTAATAATTATTATAAGGCCTGCGTCGGAAAAAACACTGGTGTTAAGTGATGCGGTGGCCTGGCCAGTAGAAGCCAGGTAGGTCAGACTAACAGCCAGACAGGTAAGGCAGCGGTAAGATGGACAGACAAGCTGGCCGACTGTCTTTGAGCTTGTGATGACTTCCAGATGAACATCACTTTCACACAACATTTCCTTCTCAGTCAGAAAGAGAGAGAGAGAGAGAATGTGTGCTGGAGAGGAAGAGGAGGAGAAATGGGCCAGGAGGAGGAGAGTGGGAGTAAAGAGTTGGGGCCAGTGTGTGTGTATGTGTGTGTGATGTGCAGGGATTGTTTATTACTGTTCTGAACGTCTGGACTCAGGCCCCGGTGATATACGCTAACTGCAAGAGACGCAGAGAAGCCCTGAGGGATGAAGGAGAGTATGGAGACAACAGTACTCGTGATTCTGTCTTTGGTCCTCTGCCATCTGTCCATATCTGCTGCCCTGCACTGGAGGAAAGGTAAGATGTGACTGCAGACAAGTTAGATGAGAATACAAATGAGAAGCAGAAGTTGAGACCAGAATAGAAACTTTGAACAAAAGTGCTCTAAAATCATTTAACCATAAGCGCCGTTTGGCCTTAGCATACAGTCCACAGATGCAGTTTGTTTTGTCTGGATGTCCAACAAATTTAAAGTATGTCTGAAGGAAATAGTTTTAATACCGTCTCATGAAACAGATAGCTTTAGTTGATCTAGTTTCTATTCAGGCACAAAAGCGGACTGGAAAGAATTTTTCTTTTTCGATTTTCATCAATGTGTGCGAGGCAGAACTTTCAGCCGTTCTGTTATGACTGGATTCAGACTCAAAAAGCTGTAGATCTTACTTCTCCCATTAGAATCAAAACACCGTTTCCACAAAAGCACCCAATATCCCAAACAAACACTTGCACGGGAGCTGAGCCAAACTGATGCCCAGTGTCTATTTGCTAATAGTAAGTCAAGAAGGGTCAGACACCCTTCTCCATCCTCAATTCCACTTAACTACTGTGCAAAGCGTCAAAAAATCTTCTTATAAGTATTAAACAAAGCAAACAGTTTGGAAATCCTCTCTTCTTCTAATCTCAGGACAGACGCACATATCCAAATAAACAGAACAGGAGCTGATTCTGATCATTTATTTAACTTTTACTGGATTTTGGTCTTTTGATTGTTTTGGCTTTGCAATTTATCCCTTATGGTTTGTTAACAACATACTGTCCTGTTGCATCCTAAACCATAGCCAAGCTTTTGCTGAGCCCCTGATGGCAGGGCTTATAATGCCATAACATTGTGAGCTGTGAGTCTCTGGCTTTAGCTTGACCTCTGTATATCTAACTGACATGTCATTACATACCACCACTAGGGAGTAGATAGACATCACTATTTTATATCGAGCCCTTGCCAAGGGCACAGCATTTTTGGGAAGTCATATCCTCAGCGCCAGTGTCTGCCTGCCCGTGTTGGGCTAGAACTCCAAATATTTTTAATGAGCTGGCCCATACATGGCAGTTGGCTTGGAGTGATGGTAAGTCACCCATTCACTTGTAGGACATTAACCTCTGAATGGAATTTTGGCAGAGTGAGAAGACTGGCTCCATCTTTAGCCAAAGACCTCATCTACTACACTGTAAAATGCAATTAAAAGCTACTTACACAGGCAAATGCAAGAACCCGCAGTCAGTTTCAAGTCCTTATATTTTCTGATGTAAAATATGGTCTACACTCACATTTGCTCTCAAGCATTGAAGGAAACTAGGAAAACTCCTACTAGCCCATAGACATGCTGTTTTCCAGGTGCAAAGAAAGTTCCTCTGACCTTATGACGAATGTGAATTAAGTTGTTGTAAGAAAGGAGTGGACATATAAGCAAACAAAATGCTCCTGTAAACCACCAGAGTGGCTTTGACAGAGTAGCTGGTGAATGGAGAACATTCCATGGCTCTCAGTCACATTTACATGGAAGTCTGGTAACAAGCTGAATCATGCACCCTACTGGCGAATATGTGCACTTGTGACTGCCCTCTGAGTTCCAAGGAAAACGTACCAGATATGTTTCTGCTTCAAGTTCACAGCACTGATGGTGAGCAAATCAAAGAAAGGAAGCTTGAACATTTTTAGGACCACCCAAACCTAGCAGCTACTGCTCCATCTCTTTCATTTGGTGCCAAACCACTGAAGCACAGCAATGCTTGCAATGCAAAGAAGACAAGGACATTGCAGCGTCCTACTTGATTGTTACCAAAACTGGCTGTTAATCTCTGTGATAAGGCTTGTTGGCCTATGCTGTGAAACAATACTAGCATGATTTAACATGTTGAACTGAGAAGATGGTAAGAAAGATAAGAACCCAAAATTTGTCTATGTAATATTTACCATAAGCGGCATTCAGCCTTAGCCCCCAGGCCAACGCAATTTGTTTAGTCAGCTGATAATATTTGTGGCAAGGCTTGTTGGTCTATGTTATGAAACAGGACTAGCATGATTTGGCATGTAGAGCTGTGAGAGGCATGAGGTTAGTCCCTGTTTGGTGTGACTGCAGGCTTGATGAGGAGCAGATCCAGCACCAAAAGCCTGCCACACAGATGTTTGCTTTAATATCCCCACAGTGGAGCTATCTGAGGAGCTTTAGAGAAGAGCTGTGACCTGTAAGCAGATGAGGTGTCTCCCTACCAAAGTCCAGACCCACCTTTCATAGGAGGCATAACTTCCAGACAGCCAGTCAATCCTTTTCCACCAGATGTTTTAACTGTTCAGGTTAAAGGTCTGTTATGGCTAAGAAAGAAGAGACCCATGACTTTCTCACCCGATGACCTGACCTTCTCTTTCCCAGCACTGTACCCGTCTGCCTTCAGAGTGAAGAGAGGAACTCCAACTCTCCTGAACCCCTCCATTCAGAGATCCGTGGAGGACACCAACTTGCTCTATGAGGTGTGTTTCAACCACTCCGTAAAAGAATATTTTGGCATCAAATTTACTGTTTTCATCACATACCCCATACATGGTCAATCAATTAAGACATACTTGATGTCTTTAGTTTGTTTCTTTAGCTTTACGCTGGAGGTATGAAGCTAATGTGAGCATATACCTCACCAATTAGCATTGTGCAAACTACTTTACTAAATTACCACATACTTTCCCCAAACTGCATCAAGTTGTTAAGTAATTTCAAATAGACTTGCTTATGTGGTTTCTGACACTGTATGACATACCATGTATGGAAAACAAACAAATGTACAGAGAAAATCCTGGCTCCCAGATGGCTAAAACTACTGAGGAAAAACCACTAAAAGATCTACAAAACAACGTTTGACTGAAGTCTGAATGTTGTGCAGCCCTGATGGAAACACCAGCATAGACCAGCATATCTGGTCACCAACAAAACTAGCATATGTTGTGTTTTGGATGCTAGTATGCTAGCCAGCAGGAATGGAAATTATTAAGCCGATCATCAGCAAAGCCAGCACATTTTTTTTACATCAGTAGTGTGAAAATTTCATGATGAATGGACCAACAGAAATTCTCCAAAAGTGATTGTAATAAAATATGTTTATATATAAACATATATGCCATTAAAGGAAAAAACCCACTCTTTTGCCCTCTCCTGTAAAGTTTCCATTTTGGAAATACTTGTTTTTCTTTAGACAGTGAATATATGTTGTGTTCTGGATGCTGGCATGCTGGTCAGCTTAACCAGCAACAGACCAGCATAAACCAGCAGAGACCAGCTTAGACAAGCATGGAATTCATGCAGGCCTGTGCTGGGTTGTTTATAGCAGAGAATACAGTGCTTGCATTGCAAGTACTGTAATAAGTGGGACAAACTGGAGTGGAGAACTATAATGTGCTGTTTAGAGTAATATATGACGACTGTCCTGTATCGCTTATCACTGGCACATGCCATGGTCATTTAGGTCCTGCCATGGTAATGACAGCATTACACCGCTAGGGGGTGCCTATCACACTGTCATGTGAAAATGACTGTAACCCCTTCTTGCTTTTAATTATTCAGTGTACTTTTTGATGATTATAATGGCTGATTGATTAAATCTGGGTTAAATGGAAAACTATTACTATAAAATATGTAACTATTCCTTTCATAGTAATCAATAATGAGAAAATGAAGTAAATAGTAAAATAAAAGATGGCACAAATGCACAAAACTAAGCCCTAAAGCATGAGTTCAGTTCACTCATGAAGGACTTTTTTTTCAGCCCAGTGAGTGGAGCGCATACTCTTTTTTTTCCTAATACTCTTTTATCCATCAACTGCCGCACACTGAGGTAAACAGTGTCTCGGCAGAGCTAGACCAAGCAATGATGCTAGTAGCACAAACATCACCAGGCAGTCAACAAGCCTGCACTCATAGACTCATCCCCTTTTCTTATGCAGCAGCCTTGAGCCCCATTTCAGCAACGCTGCTCTAAAACAAACTGACCAGGATGCTCCTGAATGCCCTACAGAACACTCACCAGTAAACAGAGAGATTTCTGTCTGGCTCTCTGTACCTTTTACCTTCAGAAGCACCAGAAGAAATAAATCACATCATTGCCCCAACAATGTTTACATTTTTCATGAAAAGGAATATGGAGGTAAAAAACAAAAAAGAAATAGAAGAGTGAGAGAAGTTTTGAAGGTAGAAAGTATCTGAAGAATTCCAAAACCTCGGGCCCTGTTCATCCTCAGTGAAGGGGTTTTTAAAAACTTCTGATGTGCACAGGCTGCAGGAACACATCTCTGTGGATACAGTGTGGGCTAATACAACTATACATTACAATATAACACAGTACAATACAGTACAAAAAAATAGAACAAAGCAGTACAATATAGTACAATACAATACAATACAGCACTTTACAATACAAAACAATACAGTACAACACAGCACAATACAGTGCAATACAGTAAAATACAGTACAACACAGTAAAATACATTGCAGTACAATACAATACAGTACAGTACAAATAATTTACTAGCAGCAGAGATGACATTACTGTAACTAATTTAGTGAACAAGCTACTTTGCTGGCAGTAAATTAATGAAACATACTTACACAGAAATTAAACTTTATTTACAAACCAAAGAACAATCGTTACTAAACTACAGTACTTTACTGTTAAATGTCACTGTATTTTTATATAGTGTTATTGTTTATCAGTATTGTAGTGTTCACCACCATTACAAGAGACACAGCTTTCGCACAAATCACGGTGCTTTATTCTCCAGCTGTTGCGGGTCACAGCTACACTGTACATAAGCAGAGTTTTCCTTTTACTGACAGCTTGTTCGCTACTCACACACACAAAGGTATCTCCCTGGGCCCTTCACAATAATACAAAACTATTAGCAAAATAACCCTGTGAATTAATGCTGAAGGACAAATAACCTAAAATTAACATGTAAACATTTCTTAATCACATGACAGTATTTTTTACAGTTAAAAAAATACACTGCACTGTACAGTTGTTTCACTTACATATGGTAGCAAACCTAAAGATGGGGATGTTTCTCTTTGGTCAGGCGCTGTGGACAGGGCTGTACATGGACGCAGGAGAGGGTGTGCTTCGTGTGGCTGATGAGGAGTTGGCATCTCTGCGGCAGCTGCAGCCTCTGGAGGTGGTGTGTGAGGACATTCTTCCGAGAACACTATCAGACATCCGCCGCCTCTGTCACCAACTGGAACAGCGCCGGGGACACCTAAGCAGAGAGGACTTTGAGCGTACCGTGCTCACTATGGTCTACACAGCTCAGAAACTTGCACAAGCAACTCCAGGCCACCAGAAGGAGCTGTGGGAGGATGCCTTTGTGCAGCTTTACAAAGCCATTAAAAGAGATCTGAGAGCAGAGTAAGGACTGTACATTTGAAGACTGTTTGGAACCCTTTTTATTTGGAATAAATGAACATTCAGTTTGACATTTAATTGAGCAATGCATTTTATTTTTGTTGAGTTTGTATAAGAACTGTTTCAGAAGCTCATAATATGTGTATATGCGGAATAAATCATTGGATAGTGACATTGCAATCAGATTTCAGTTGTAGATTCAATGTAATCTGTAACATGTCAAGTCACATTGAGGTACTTTTCAAAGATTTGTTTTTTGTCCCCACCAGTACGTTATCTACCGTGGGCAAATATTTGGACATTTGTGCCATACTTAAAATTGTATTATTTTTTGTTGTCAAGTTTGTTCAAGAAACAAAATGTAAAACTAAGTAGCATTTATTTTTCAACTTTTTTTGGCAAAGTGTTCTTTAAAAGGTGGCTGGTGTGTTCAGACACTTCCATCTCTGTGATTTACAGTACTTTTAGTGCAGGATGGCTGGAATTCCTCTCTAGAATTTCTCCACACAAAAAGTCTATCATCAGTTTGATGTTGTTTTAAAAGTGTATATCTCTGAAACACATATCATTTCATGAACATTTTATGAAATATGTCCAAATACTTTTTTGGGCTACTGTATATTCGTTATTGTGACATTAGTGTGCTTCCCGACCCCAAGAACACCAAAGACATCTTTGACCCTGAGTGCAAAGAGTGTCTGTTCCTATATGCAAAGTTCTTATGGTGCTCCACTGTGTAAGGCACATTGTTTTATCTTCTATGATGTTCAATCTATTTCATTTGTTCCCCTCTATAGTGGGCATGTGATGGAAAGAAGAGTCTGAACCTGCTCACTCTCTAGCTCTGCTTGCATCCTTGCACTGTGTCTGGCTTATGTATGTGTTACACTATTGGTCTATATGTATTATGTAATATATACAGTCTTTATTTCTGTGTACATCATGATAACAATATTAATGCAGAAAGCGGTCAAGGCTTATTTTAAGTCTTGAAAATAATGACAAACCAATTCATATACTAAATGTATTACTATAGCTAGGCATTTTAACATAAAATAACCTCATTACATCTATTGTATTCCATTTTTTGTTCTTACACTATTACATTGTTTACAATATGTCTTTATACATTATGACATATAACCATTATAAATTGGCTATTCATTATGCTAGAGACAACCAAAGGATGTAGGGGTAGATGGGCTAGTGGTAAAGGAATCAAGCCAGCAGCTGGAGGGTGGTTGGTTTGAATGCCAGGACTGCTGGGTGTTCATGGTTGATGACTGGACTGATCTATGGGTGCTAGTACTAGGGTCCTAGGGTACTAGGGTCCTGCTTCCATTCTGGGCATCAAAAATGATGAATTTACTAATAATGTAACTTGACAAATAAATAGCATAGTACCTAATGTCAGCATTAACAAGCATCATGTTTCAATAAAATAACAGTAACAGAAACAGAACAGTAAAGAAAGCATTTAACTCAAGTTTCAATAAATCATCAAGTATTCTTTTTTTCTACTGGGGTGACTATACACTTTAACTATAATTACAAATCGTCTCAAAAACGGAAGAAATGGGTGGTTAACTAAAAAGATTAAACATGGAATAAGGAGAGCGGACTAAAGAGTATGTAGACTTTAAGAATAGGTTTACTTACTTGCTGATCTGTAATGATTATAATAAAAATATACCATAACATTAAAACCACCACCTTGTTTCTACACTCATTGTCCATTTTATCAGCTCCACTTACCATATTGGTGCTACAATTACATTTCTACAATATACTTCTACAATTATAGACTGTAGTCCATCTGTTTCTCTGCATACTTTGTTAGCCCCCTTTGACCCTGTTCCTCAATGGTTAGGACCACCACAGAGCAGGTACTATTTGGGTGGTGGCTCATTCTCAGCACTGCAGTAACACTGACGTGGTGGTGCTGTGTTAGTGTGTGTTGCGCTGGTCTGAGTGGATCAGACACAGCAGTGCTGCTGGACTATTTAAACACCTCAGTGTCACTGCTGGACTGAGAATAGTTCACCAACCAAAAATATACAGTCAACAGCGTCTAAGGTAGGTGTGTCTAATAAAATGGACAGTGAGTGGACACAATGTTTAGAAACTCCAGCAGCACTGCTGTGTCTGCTGTGTCCAATCCTGGCCTAGACATTACTCCAGTTGTATAGCTAAGGGAATGGTTTGTGAAGTTTGTGAAGGGAATCTAGAAACTATTAATAATTAACATTATTTACTGCCTCCGCTTTACATAAGAAAAACTACAGAACTAAAGACTGATTCATACTGACCACTCATCACTCAAATAATTCATAATAAAAGCAGCATTATCTGCTTTGCTCAGAATGTTGCCTTTATGCTGTAGACTTCAGAGTTTTTCTTATATAAATGAAAACCATTGTAGACTAAAACATGATCAAATATGTAAACAATGTTTGCATGCACTTATACATGTTGCCCTTCACAATTAAGCAGTCAAGTACATACGATGCATGCTGTTGAGAAACATCTGAAAACATCTTTTAATGTACTTCTTTTCATTTTACTACAGTTTTAGCTTGTGTTTTTGCTTAATTTTAAACATACTATTTCAAATAACAGCGCTTTAAGCTGTTATGTATTATACGTGCTATAAATAAAATTATTTTATAAAGTTATTTTATTTCATATTTGTAGTTTACTTGGTCTGTTGTACGTCTTTCAGACCTCAGCTCTTCTCTGCCTGCAATGTTTCTCATTTTGTTCAGGCGCACAGAACGATCCCGCTGTGTTGTGGGGTCCTAAGTACGACAGCAGTGAGAGGAAAAAGTAACACATCCAGCTGAAACTGCCTTATTCGCTTTTACATGTTTTGAAGGTGAGATAATAACGTTAACTAAAGACGGCGGGGTCTGGGGTTTTAAATGAGACTTCTTGCATGTTGGTGTCCGTAATGACGGAGCTGCTAGCAGCTCAGCAGTGTTTACACTCCCCTCTGAAGATGGCCTGAGATCCAGACGAGCTGAGGAGTCATTACTGACCCTGTTCACCGCCCTCTCGTTCACAGACAGGCCGCGTAGAGACTACACGGTTTAAAACGGTAACTGTGGTCTGTTGGTGGTCCGTTGTTAGAGTGTTATTAAACGCTGTTTGTTGAATGGAATGCGGGGCGCGTAAACTTTATACCAGCTAGCAAGTAAGCTAACTAGCTTTTAGCTGTTTCGGTTTCTGTGGCTGAGCTGTTAGCTTAGCTGCTAATGGGCATATGTGCTAACCTGTGAGCGTCAACGAGGCTGAAGTTTGGTTCTTATTCACTAGTTTATTGTTCGAATTTTCCCGTTTTACCTTAAGTGGTGCAGCCGTTACGTTCTGGCGCTGCACCATTTAAGGTGGAACGGAACATTTCAAATAAGAGGCTGACTTCAGCCTCGTTTAGCCTCACAGGTTAGAGTTCAGTGCTTCGGCGCAAATAACTTGCTTGTATATGTCGACAACTTGTTGTGCATTTAACTGATTATTACGTTTAGAAATGCAACTTCGATTAATTGTTTGTTTTGTGAAGTTTCTGCATAAATAAAAGGCACGACAGTGCAAAACGCTACGAAACCCGATGATGTAGCTTTAGTTAGTTAAGCTAACGCAAGCTAACTTTGTGATAATGTTTTACACCAGACCGCGCAGCTGTCACTGCGAGCTACAAGTGCAGTCCACTGCCCTCTCCTGTTAGCCGGTATAGTGTGTCTGTGATTTTATCATTTAACGTATGATTTTAACATGATGGGCGACGTTGAGCCTGACAAGTCGTTGTAGTCAGTTAAATCAACGGAAACGCTAGCTAGCTACCACCGGGGTGTACTTTCATGTTACGGAAACTATTTGCTCTTAGCTCGTTGGCTAAGTTGTAAAACTCCTCAGTAGGTTTTGGAGGTTTAAAAATCACGTTAGGTGTCCCCTCACACCATTATCCCTCACAAACCATACTTAAGACCACTGGAAAGCAAACATTAAGTTCAGGTTAACGGCCTGTTTATTGTTTTTGTAGCAGTCTGCTAGCAAAAGTACGTCAATTAGCTCACTTTGCTGGTCAGTTACGTGGTGAAGTTTATTGGACAGCTAGAAAATGATTAAAAATTAACCTACGTTTTTTTTTAGCTTTAGCAGGATGCCTGCTGAACGCAAAAAGTCAGTAAACATGGATGAGAAGGAAACAGGCTCCTTCAGCAACAAGGAGAAAGAGAGGGACAGAGACGGGGAGAGACGACCCACCTCCTCCAGAGAGAAGGGCAAAGATGAAGGCAAAATGAGTGGCAAGAAAGACAGCATCAAGTCTGCAGATGACAAGAAGCGAAGAGTAGAGGAGGAGAAGAGAAAGAAGGAAGAGAAGGAGCGGAAAAAGAAAGAAGAAGAAAAGCAGAGGGCTGAGGAAGAGCAGAAGAGGAAAGAGGAAGAAGAGAAAAGGCAGCAGGAGGAACAAGAAAAGAAGCTGCTGGAGGAGGAAGCAAAACGGCAGAAGGAGGAGGAGGCGGCTCAGTTGAAGTAAGATTTCTGAAGGATGAGGGTTGGCCACTGATAATGTCCTCCTCATTGACATTCTCTGTTGACTTGGGAGATTTATGTGGAGTAGTTGTGCATACATAATCAAACATGATATTTCACAATGCACAATATGTATTACAATATTTAGTTTTCTCAGAGGTTTGATTAGTGTAAAAAAGCACCAGTAGTGCCACATCTTATTGAATATTATCAAAAATTGAGGGAATGATTTTTATTTAACATTTCTCATACTGCACTGTACCAAATCCAATTAAACGGGACTAATAACCCTTTGTAAAGGAACATGCAGTAGATCAGTGTTCTTAAAATACTGACTGTATCCCCGATGTGTTCAGAAAAGCAGACAGTTGTAATTTGTTACAATAGTTATACATATATTCATATCACCCACCTCTAGTTGTACAGCACTGCATTATTTGATATCTTTTATAATCAGTCTTGAGATGAAACACTCTCCTGCCTGTTTCACTCAGCACTGTTGTAATAGGTTGTTACTAATGTGTTTTTGCTGGTAGGGAGAAAGAGGAAGCTCAGCAGTTGCACCAGGAGGCATGGGAAAGGCATCAAAGCAGGAAGGAGCTGCGAGGGAAGAACCAGCATGCACAGGAAAGCCGTCCCGAGGAGGCCTTCTTCAGTCGTCTGGACTCCAGCCTCAAGAAAAACACTGCCTTTGTTAAGAAGCTCCGCACGCTCACAGAACAGCAGCGTGACTCCCTCTCGCATGACTTTGCTTCCCTCAACCTCAGCAAGTACATTGGCGAGGCTGTCAGTTCACTGGTGGAGGCCAAGCTGAAGATTTCAGACGTGGGCTGTGCCGTGCACCTGTGCTCTCTGTTCCACCAGCGCTATGCAGATTTCGCCCCACTTCTGCTGGCCGCCTGGAAGAGGCACTTTGAGGCCCGTAAGGAGGAGAAGTCTCCAAACGTGAGCAAGCTGCGCACAGACCTGCGCTTCATCGCTGAGCTGACCATAGTGGGTCTCTTTACTGATAAGGAGGGTCTGTCACTCATCTACGAGCAGCTGAAGAACATCATCGGGGCTGACCGTGAGACTCACACTCACGTTTCAGTGGTGATAAGCTTCTGCAAGCATTGCGGAGATGACATTGCTGGCCTGGTGCCTCGTAGAGTGAAGAGTGCAGCGGAGAAGTTCAACCTGACCTTCCCTCCTAGTGAGATTATCAATACAGAGAAGCAGCAGCCTTTCCAGAACTTGCTGAGAGAATATTTCACCTCTCTTACCAAACACCTGAAGAAAGATCACAGAGAGCTTCAGAACATTGAAAGGCAGAACAGGTTAGCAAATGTCATAATGCTCTTCCAGAGAACAATAAATGTCATCAAAAATTGGTTTGAAATATCAGAGAAATCTGAATATCTGTCATATGCTAATAGATTTTTAACACAGATATCGGTTGATACCAATTTGATTGCAATATCATTGTGCATTCCTATTTAGGACACAGTATTATTTAATGGAAACTATTACAAAAGATAAAAACAGGCATTTTAGACAGCAGGTTTTGTATGAATTCCGACTCGTCCGCCGAATCTAGCTGCATGAAATAATAATCTGTAGCATCCATATGCCTGCATCAAATGCGTGCATGTGAAAGAGAGTCAGAATTCAAAACAACACCTTTTGTCTAAAATGGCCCCCTGTGTGAAGTTTTGTAAATTGTATTAGTTCACAGTAAGTCTGGGCTAAGTGGAGAATTGTGTAGATTAGATTTTTTTGGCAAATCACTCCTTTTAAATTTCTCTATTTTTCTCTCAGGCGTATCCTGCACTCTAAAGGAGAGTTGAGTGAGGACAGGCATAAGCAATATGAGGAATTTGCCACATGCTATCAGAAGCTGCTCGCTAACACTCAGTCTCTGGCTGATTTACTGGATGAGAACATGCCTGATCTGCCACAGGATAAGACTGTCCAGGAAGGTATAGACTCTTGCATTGACCCATTCATTTGATGCTGTCTAGTGTCTGCGGTTCTTTACATATGATTTGCTACTTGAGTGTGCTGTAGCTACATAGTTCACATACACTGTAAACAGTAATTCGGTTGTGATCTTTATCCAGTGTTCGCAGTTGATGTAAAGTATATTTACAATATGCAGTCAGATACCTTTTTCCCACAGACAAGTGTTCTTATTTGGAGCTTAACAGCTTCTTTGTAAAATCTATGATTGGTGATGACTGGTCTGTCAGCATGTTTGGGGGGGAAAAACTGTCACATGTATCATAATAAGTGTTGTATTATGAGTATGACGAGTATTGTGTTGTGAGCTAGTTGTAAATTCCCAGCCCTACAGTTATGTGTGCGTCTGTGTTGCAGAGCATGGTCCAGGCATTGACATCTTTACTCCAGGGAAGCCTGGAGACTATGAGCTCGAAGGCGGAATCTGGGAGGACGAGGATGCACGAAACTTCTATGAAAACCTGGTGGACCTGAAGGCTTTTGTACCTGCCATTCTGTTCAAGGACAATGAGAAGGCCAGCCAAAGCAAAGACAGGGATGAGAACAAAGGTAGAGAAGTTATAGTCACTGTCACTTTCAAACCTGAGATCCATTGAATTTCAGTTTAGCTGTGTCAGGAGATGAATAGCAGTTTAGTTAAATTGAACTGGATTCTTTCCTCCTTCTGCAGAGATCAAGGAGGGACGTGAAGGGAAAGAGGCAAGCAGCACTGAGGAGCTGGAGCTGGAGCTAGAGGCTCTGGACATCACTGATGACCCTCTGGAGCTTGAAGCTGCTGATGAAGCTGAGAGCGAAGAACTGGCCAAGAAACTCCTAGATGAGCAAGGTGGATGCATACATGCAAAGATACATAAATGTGCCAGGGCAGCCACACACATTCAGTAGAATTTGATGATTAAAACAAAAGCCGTTTAAATTACTGGAATAATTTTATGAAAGTATGCAGTACAGTGCATCAATTTTTATCATTCCAATGAGAAACAAAATGTTGTTCAAGTCTTTTCTTGTCAAAGCGGCGGTGATATCTCGAACTGTAGTCAGAAGTAAGGCTATCAAGACTCTGTCTCTAACTGTGTATTAGAGCTCAGATCGAATTAGAGCTCAAATTTTAATTGCCCGGTGCAGTCTAAATGATTTTTCCTACTGCTCTAGATTACTAACTAGCATGCTCTCAACTGCATTTATTTCTGAGAATAACTTATTAAAACTGTACTGGACATTAAGATAAATACAGCTGATTTAAGCACATGCTAAGGGATAAAGCTTTTTTGGAGCTGCTTAAAAAATGTGTTCATATAGAATCTAAAACCTGGACACCCCCTCGCTTGCTAACAGGAGTTGACCAAAAAGCAGTTTTCAGTAGTTAAAAAGATGTTGTTTCTTCTTCTCTTCTGCACTACACATCAGTGATACGCTGAAACAGTCTCAGCAAGCTTGTCAGGGTTGCCAGATTGGGCAGGATTCCTCGGAATCGCATTCTATGCCTCTTGCAGTGACATGCAATGCAAACTCAATTGTTTCATTAATCAATAATACTAATATTGATAAACAACAGTACTACTAATAATAACTGTAGTAAAAAGAAAAATAACACTAACATTACAAATATTTTTTTCATTTGATCTTTGAAGTGAAACACATCTTGAGCTTTTCTTATTTTTACAGAATATTTGAAAATTTGATAGATTACGCGAAAATGAAAATTTAGATAGTTGCAGTCCTAAAATGCAACACTACATTTCTGTGACATCAAACATATGAAAATGTCTTTGAGAAATAAGGTTAAAGTCAGAGAAAACTCAAGGAGAGTTCAAAGGGATGGCCAGGTAACTGGATGAGGGTGACTGAAGATATTCTTAGGGAGAGAATGAAAGAGAACATTTTAGGGTATATTACAAAGCAGGTTCATTCTTTTCAGGGTTTCTTATATACTTGGCTTCTGTATTTCAGTCAGGCTTTATCTGTGAAGTTATAAGCTGAGTCCTCTCAGCTTTGGCACTGTGCATTTTGTAGTATTAGACCACACATTAGAATTACACTGTTATTTTCCATTGGTATTTACCAAGAAAAAAAACCCCTAAAATATGGTAATTATGAAAGAACTACTTAATACAGATTACTTGAAGCACAAAATAAATAATATTGATTAATATTACAGTATCATAACAATCTAATGTCTTGTAGGGGTGTAGCGATGCATTGTGACTGTGATATTGCGATGCAGAACTATTAACATTTACTTTGTGGAAATGACTAATACCAACAACTTTGACCAGAATGTTCATTAGTAAGCTGTGCATTAACATGGATAGTCATCATCTTTCTTCAGTTGAATTTTTGTTCAAAATATTGTGAGAATATCAAATCATGAATTCAGTACAGAGAATCCACTCAAATCTTAGGCTGAATGTATCGTTACACTCCTGCTGTCTTGCCATTCACTTGTAGGGAAATTCTAAGCTACACCTTCTCATCTGACTGCTTCAGCTAGTATTTCATTGTTTAAGGACAATGAAACAGTTAATATATATATAACGGTTACCGGTTTCATGGTAAACCATGGTAAAAGTTAATGACGGTTAGTAGTACCGTTTGAACTTTAAAGTATCGTTAAAACCGCGGTGTGAAAAACTCGGAGATTCGGAGATATTTCAGCCTTCTAAGAAGACCAAGTCTGACGTTTGGTCATATTTTGTGTTTTAAAAGGATGTAGAAGGAAAGTTATTAGAAGATGACCACCCTGTCTGCAGAACATGCTGAAAGAAAATAGCGGAGAAAGGGGGCAACACATCAAACCTTACGAGTCATCTTCGCGACCGCCACCCGCTACTTTTTAGAGAATGCAAGGTTAACTTTAACGGAGAAGTCTGTGGGGACTTCGAAATAGACGAAATGTCGTGGTCTGTGTGGTTTAACTTATGCTTATGGTTCGTTAATAATATAAAATGAAGCTTTTAGCGTCAAAAAAAAAAAACAGTCGGTGAATCAACTGTGAATCGAAACTAAAGCTTTTAACACATTTCTGTGGAGCAGAGTCTCCAAAATGAGCTCTGATTTAAGAGTCACACAAGCTCTGGAACGAGACGCTGCAAATGTTCAATCTGCACAGCTGCCCTTTCTCGTCTCGCTTGCAGTGTTTACTGTCTGAGAGGAGAATAACAACGTCTCAAACCACTCAGTGTCCCCTACATAGTGCGCCCCTGTTCAAACAAACACGATCATCATTAACAAGCAGTTGAGTTTTAAATAGGGGATTTGTAGCCTGTTGTTAATGTTGATTATAGATGACTTAGTCGAACGTTTCACGCACTCTTTGGGTGAAGGATTTCATCTATTTCATGATCCACGAAGTGCACTACATAGGGAAGATAGTGTGCTTTGAGACGGGACCTCGCGAGTAAACGCTGTGTGCTGTTTTTAGGAGAAGCAGAGTTTCAGAGATTAAACTTCAGGAGTGTTTCTGCCGCAGCTCAGATGCGCGTTAATTTTAAGTTATGTTTTAGTTTTAAAATGCTTTTAGAGAAGCAGCTCCACAGGTGAAGACACACTGTGTGAGTTCTACACTGTCTGCAGCTCACAGCACGGTCACGCAGTTCCTCTGCGATTTTGTTTTTAGTTTTTCCTGGTGCACTGTGTTGATTAGGGGTTCAGCACCACAACGGCACAATAATGGTGCAATTGCGGTTCGGACAGAAATCCCCCGAGTGCAGCACTTCTTAGAAGTAGTAATTTTCCATTAAGACCCACCTCAGAGTTCGTCAAGATTTAATTCTCTATGCAGGGAAATCCCTAATTATTGTACCTAATAATAATAATAATAATAATAATTACAACAGTAATAATAACAGTAGTAATAGTCATAATAACAGTAATAATAATACGTTTGTTATTCTTTTGTTTGCAGAGTATTACAAGTATTGTAAGTAATACAAAAGTAATACAAAAAATGTATTGACCTTATTTTTTAATGTTTATGCAAACAGAGTGCATATTGCTGCCAATTCTATTTGTGTTAATACAAAAGTTGGTAAAACGAGTTTCAGTTTGTGTATCAGTATTTATTTTTTTACTTACTTTTACTTTTCAACACATTTGAACAATATCGTGATAATACCGATAATCGTGATAAATTTTGGTCATGGTAATCGTGATATGAAATTTTAATATCGTTTCATCTCTAATATATATATATATATATATGTATGTATATGTATGTTGAAGGACAGTTATGTTGTCAGTCACTCACTACAGAGTAGCTGCTTTTTCATTTAATGTGACTGTATATGTGGCTCTCTGTTTGCACATGTGTAGAACAAGAAGACGAGGAAGCCAGTACTGGATCTCATCTTAAACTCATCGTTGACGCCTTCATCCAACAGCTCCCCAACTGTGTCAACAGAGACCTGATTGATAAGGTAAACACACAGACTCATCTTGCATACAAGAACACTCAGAACAGCGCTCATAAAACTATTTATTCAGTCCCACCTGGTTTTATTATATCAGGTGTTCTTTAAATAGTATGTATGAATGAGAGAGTGGGTGTACCCTGTATGAACAATACTAGACCTGTTACACAAGAGAGAACTGAAATATGTAGCCCTAAGATTGGAAGTCTAATAACTGGCTTTTGTTTGCTTTTTTGCTAAATTGTTTTTATGAAAGAAACACTTAAAGTAGATATAGTGGCAAAGAGATTTTTTTCTGACATGAGCTTTGTTCTTTTGAGTATGTGACAGTGGTGCTGTGAGATGTTTACTCTACAAATTAGAGCTAATAGTGAGTGGCACATTTGTTAATAAAAATGAATGGGCCTCATTTACCGACTGTTTTCAAGAGGAAATTTCTTCTTAATCACTTATGCAGTTTTCGCAAAGACTCTGACATTCTTCAGTGTTTTCTTATTCAGGATTTGTTCTTAGATAAGAACAGAATCTACACACATGGAGCACAAAGGAGCAAACAGTTCTGCGGTTTAAGAACACGTCATGAATCTGACGTAGACCTTTTCTTAGGAGCTTTCTTAAGAGCACATTTAAAAAAAAAAAAACTTAGGATGATATTGATGAATGAAGCCTATTATTTCCTACTGAAGAAGATTTCTCACATGAATATGAATAACATATGAAAAGATTAATGCCATATGAACCTTCATTTGACAACAAGTTTAAATGATAGAACTCCTTGTGTAATATATTGCACTGTAACTTATTTTTGTGTTTGCCTAATTTTAAAGTGATTAAAAAAAATAAACTCTTTACTAAACTTTGTGTGATTGCTTCCAGGCTGCAATGGACTTCTGTATGAATATGAACACCAAGTCTAACCGCAGGAAGCTTGTTCGTGCCCTCTTCACTGTTCCCAGGCAAAGGTGTGTTAACTCTCCTTTCCTTTCGCCCTGAGCACATTGAATGAACGTCAGTCTGTGTTTACACTAGATGGAGCTGTTGCTTCATTCATTTTGTCACTCTAAGGCAGAGATCACCAGTCATAGCCACTTATCCAGTCAAGCAGAAGCACACCTGATTCCACCTCTTTAATTAGTTGATCTCTCAAAGTTCTGCGCTAAAATTGGCAGAGATGTTTTATTTAAGTGTGTTTGCTGTAGAGTAACAGCTCTAGAACAGGGGTAGTTAGACATTTAACTGATCCAAGGGCTTGTTTATTACATGTTTTTAAATTGTGTGTTTCCTTCTTATGCTGTCAGGCTTGATCTGTTGCCGTTCTACTCAAGGCTGGTGGCTACTCTGCACCCCTGCATGTCTGATGTTGCAGAGGATCTCTGCTCCATGCTCAAAGGAGACTTCAGATTCCACGTGTGTATCTGCCTCTTTGTTGTTTATACATTCCTATGCCAACATTTGGGCACCACTGGTCAAATTACATGCTTTGTTGATTTTCTAAGTGAAAGTAAGAAAAATCAAGAAGACATGTAATTTCACCAGTGTGTTCAAACGTTTACGTACGACTGAAAACTTGATCCTTTTTGTGGACTTACTCTGCTAACATAGCCAGCTATCTTGAATACAATACATGTATTCTCTGTATTCTGTTTTTTGCCTAGTTACAAACTCTTCATTTCTCTTGTAGGTAAGAAAGAAGGACCAAATCAACATTGAGACCAAGAATAAGACCGTGAGGTTTATTGGGGAGTTAGCCAAATTCAAAATGTTTTCGAAAACAGACACTCTACATTGTCTGAAGGTGAGTCTGAACTTTCCGCAGCAACATTCACAACTGCAGTTTTGCACTTTGTGGAAGGTAACTGTGTGCATGTGTGATCTACAGATGCTGTTGTCTGATTTCTCTCATCACCACATTGAAATGGCCTGCACTCTGCTGGAGACATGCGGACGATTTCTCTTCAGGTCTCCTGAGTCTCATCTGCGTACCAGCGTTCTACTGGTGAGACACACACAAACGTGCACATGCAAACACACACTGAGTGAGTCACATGCTTTCTCAGTTAGTTCTCAGTTCTTTGCTCTCCATAAAACACAACAGTGATACAGATACATGATGGTGAACTCAGACCTGTTACTGCTAGTCTTTGTCTATCAGTGCAAGAAGGTATCAGTACACAGCAAGAACCCCCCCCACCCGTTCTCTTCCTCTCTCAAGTGTGCTGCCCCAGTCAGATTAATCACCAGCATTAATCAACTGTATCTGCTTTATCCAGGAGCACAGATCAGCTCCCTAACACATGATCAGACACCAGGCTTAACCTGATTCTTTTAATTAACCCAGTTTCATTAACCCAGTACACTTCACTCCTTTGATTATACACACAGTTACGTCACATGTCTACATCATGTACTGCATTTGTGCCGTTTAGGAACAAATGATGCGCAAAAAACAGGCGCAACATCTGGATGCTCGATACGTAACTATGGTGGAGAATGCCTACTACTACTGCAACCCACCACCCATGGAGAAAACTGTGCGCAAGAAGAGGCCACCGCTACAGGAGTATATTCGCAAGCTGCTCTACAAAGATCTGTCTAAGGTTACCACCGAGAAGGTTTGTACTTGGCTACTGTAGTGCTATTGTTACTCTCTTATGTTTTCTCTCACTTTCCCTTATATATACACACACACTCTGTTGCTCAGTATAGCCAGACCAACAAGTCAACAAGTTATTTTGTTATTTTGTGCATTACAAAGCAAGAAGGTATCAGAAATTCTGTTGTATATGTTTGTGTTTAGGTTTTGAGACAGATGCGCAAGTTGCCCTGGCAGGATCCAGAAATGAAGAGTTATCTGATTTGCTGCATGGTGAACATCTGGAATGTGAAGTACAACAGCATTCACTGTGTAGCTAACTTGCTGGCTGGACTAGTTGCATACCAGGAGGATGTGGGTATACATGTAGTGGATGGGGTGCTGGAGGACATCCGTCTTGGCATGGAAGTACGTGTGTCTGCGTGTGCGCCTGCGTATTTAATTTTAGCACCAGGGGACATGATGGATAGACTTATGTATCCTATGATGTCATCCTGACCAGTCTATTTTTTCCTGTGTACTTTATTTCTGTATATTTTTTTCATGTTATTCATTATGTGTCAGCAATAATAGTAAGAAAACAATCTTTACGCTCTGGTTCTCAGGTGAACCAACCAAAGTTTAACCAGCGGCGTATCAGCAGTGCAAAGTTTCTGGGGGAGCTCTACAACTACCGCATGGTGGAGTCAGCTGTGATCTTCCGCACGCTTTTCTCATTCATCTCATTCGGTGTGAACGCTGATGGCTCGCCCAGTCCTCTGGACCCTCCTGAGCACCTGTTCCGCATCCGCTTGGTCTGCACCCTGCTTGACACATGTGGGCAGTATTTTGACCGTGGCTCCAGCAAGAGGAAGCTTGACTGCTTCCTCATCTATTTCCAGGTTTGAGGGTTTTGTTTCTTTTATCAGGTTATCATGAATGGTTAAGCTTTTTCATACCTTTAAAGAGGAACCATCATGTTTAGCTATTTTTAGTAGTGGGAACTGCTGTGGAATTTTGCCCTCAAAGATAAAACTTGGCAGTGCGGGCACAAACGTTTGGTAACATTTTCAAATGAACACCCTTTCTGGCTAAATATGTTAGCACATTTAGTTTTAAGTAATTACCAGTGGCACCTGACTTACTAAAGACAGCTTGCCTCATCTCATGTTTGGTGAGTGGAAATGTTTCTGTCAGTAATGTCTGACTGGCAGCGGTTCAGGGAAAGATTGAGTTCAGTCTTAATTTGATGCCAGTAAAAAAAAAGTTCAGGAAATCCTTGAAATGTTTTATGTGTCTTAACACACACAGTTGTTTCTTAGTGCATTAAATGGTATAATTTCCTCAAAGAATTTGACCTCTTTTAAAATCTTTAAACAGTTAAAAATTTATAATAGATGATAATATAATTTTAATGATAATATAATTTATAAAGATTTGTTTAGTAAACCGAACAATTGAATGACTGACTGCGTGATGGTTCTTCATGTTTTATATTTAACGTTTCATTTTTTGGTTGTTCGTGTTGGAACAGAATTGCTCATTTGTGCAGCACTGTTACCATTTATGTAACGTAAAATGTTAAATTAGTAACATCGTTATTTCAAATGTGTCAAATGTGAACATATACTATATAAGCATGTGATTCAAATTTGCTAAAAAAATTGTTGACCACCCAGCGTTGACTGAACAAGTTAAAATGTGTGTGTATGTGTGTGTTTTGTAGAGATATATCTGGTGGAAGAAGAGTTTAGAGGTATGGACTAAAGATCACCCCTTCCCCATTGATATTGACTACATGATCAGTGACATGCTGGAGCTTTTGAGGCCCAAAATGCACCTGTGCAGCTCACTGGAGGAGGCCTGCCGACAGGTCACTGAACTTGAAAGAGAGGTCCTCGTCAAACTGGGTAACTCATCGTCTCTTTTCTAAGTGCGCGTGTGTGGTTGGTGTGGTTGTTGTGCTAGTCATCCCAGTTCTGTGTTTCTGTCATCCCTGCTAAGCAGCATTCCTGTGTGTGTATGGTAGTTCAGTGACTCACTTTCAGGCTTGTTCATTATGCCTGGCCTACTTTCATTCATCCTCTCTTCACACCTACATACCTGAAGAAGAGAGAGAGAAAATGTTGCATTCCTTCAGCACATGTAATGGTATCATGTCTGCAGGTGCAACAGAAACAGTGATTTGTGACTGCAGCGTCAAAGGTGTTGACTTGGAATCCAGTCACACCTCTGTGTGCGTCTGTATACATGTGCTTACTATTTATTAAAGGAGCTTTTTCTTGCTGCACGGGCAGGTATAATAGGAATCTATATTAATGTCTTCTTGTTGTGTTTCAAAGAGGGTACTGATGTGCCTCCTTTTCAGCAATAATGGAGAAAGAAAAGCGTGGTTTTCTGTTTTCTTGAAAAAGTATTTTTAAAATCATGTTTGCTTCTGGAGATTTCATTAACATGAAGTGACGCCACTGCTGCTTATTCATGATTGTCTTTGTCCTCTTTGTTAACTTTGTATAATTAATTCATTTGAAACAATTAAATAACCTTAAAAGAAGTACAAATATGAGAGGTTAGAAATTTTATATATGTGTATGTGAGAGAGAGAAAGAGAGTTGTGTCTGCTTTGTGAATCACGTTTTGTTTTGTTTTTGTCTTATTCTTCCATTTATGTGACCGATAGAATGCTGTTTTATTTTGTTATAGAGACTTTGCATGGATTAGGTCAATGCGCTCGGTGCACATTCCACTCATAGTTAGTAATGTAAGCCCAGTTAAGCGTCCTTAAGTTGTATTCATGTGTGAAAGTGCTGCCATGTCTTCAGATTACTGAGGCAAAGAAAGTTAAAATATGACCAAAAGCCTTCATATGACTTAGTGGAATAATGTGTCGTTTATGAGTAATTGTAAGTCGTCACTGTTGAGGTGGCTTCTGAATATTAAAGGAAATTTGAATAAGCAAGATAAGCCCATGAAAGTGAAACAGGACGTCTATTGGCCTAAATGCACGCCAAAGACAAAAGATCCATTCCAGCAGCATTGTAAATGCCTCGGCCCTTAGATATGACTGCTATTGTTCTCATAATCGACATGGCAAACATTGCGTGTGCTGGGGTGTGTATGTGTCCAGGCTTGGCCATGGAGAAGGATGGCCGTTGTTCCAGTGCCATGGGGGAGGGAGAGGCTTTAGATGAGGAAGATGAAGATGATGATGATGAAGGTGGAGCAGAGACGGAAGAGCAGTCCGGAAACGAAAGCGAAATGAATGAACCAGAAGAGGAGGTAAGTCTAGAACAGAGTGACACATTTAGGTTTAAAATTTTATGCATCTATTTTAGAATGTTATAATTGATTGTAATAACATTCAGGATGTGCTCTTTTTGTGACTAAAATATAATTTTTGGGCTATTTTCAAATGTAAATATTAAGAGTACTGGTGTACGGTTTTAACTGTCTGTATTCCACTGCTGAGCAAGTAGTTCATCCAGTCACATTTGGGTTTAGTGTATTTTAAAAAATAATTTTAAATCATACTAAAATAATCAACATTTTATGATCCATTTAGTTGTTTTTTAAAAAGAATTGTATAAATATAATTATTGTGAAAGCAGAGATTTACAATCAGAGTGCATCGCCTTCCCACACCCCAGGGAGTATGAGATAACGTGTTGTTCTGAGAGGGGCACTATTGCAGGAATGCCATTTCTGCAACAGTTCTTTTTGGATGTGTAGTGGCTTGTATTGTTATAGACTGAGGGAAGGTGATCCTGCACTCCTGCTGTAATGTCTGGTGTGAATTCAGGATGATATGGCCCAGGTTTGTGTGTTCTGTCAGTTCTGTCTGTACCTCCTACAAAGACTGGCTGACACTGAAACCAAACATACAAACAGAGCAGAAAGGAAATGCTGGTGTAAACATCCTTGAAGAGCTTTTGTGAGATTTCTTTCTTGCTTTCAAGATTATGACCTTGCTTGTGTACATGCAGGAAGGCTCAGAGAATGAGGAAGAGGAGCGGGAGGAGGAGGAAGAGAACACGGACTACCTGACCGACTCCAACAAAGAGAACGAGACGGACGAGGAGAACAATGTAAGCATACCACAGATCTGATGATAGGGGGGTCAAGCAGGAAATAGTTATTGAAAAATGATTGCTGTGAATAAAAATGTTTGTGTTGCTGCTGTGTAGGAGGTGATGATTCGGGGTGGAGGTCTGAAACATGTGGCCTGTGCTGAGGATGATGACTTTATTCAGGCACTGGATAAAATGATGCTGGAGAACCTGCAGGTATGTGCCACATGAACTGAGAAGTATGAGCACGTAGCTGTCTTTAACATGCTCTTGTCTCATTGTTTCAGAACATGACATGAACCACTAGGGATTTAGTTGTGTTTGACATTTTACTGTGTGCATATATACATATTACTGTGTGTATATATACATATTACTGTATGTGTGTATATATATATATATATATATATATATATATATATATATATATATATATATATACACACATAATATATGCATGTGCTTACAACAGACTCTCCTGCTCTCATCTTACATTTATTTGTGCACTTTTTAGCTGAATAGATCTGCGTTTTTTATTTGCCAGGTAGCAGGAAAAGTGCCAGCGCTGCTGACTGTGAAGAGATTCTCATTTTTTACTGTTACTGCATGACTGCAGGTCCTTCTTACAAATATGATCTATTTTGTGCTTGTCCACACAAAGTCCCAGTTAGGATACAAATGGCAAGGTGTTATCCTTTGTCAGCCTTGGGCATGTTCATATTATTGATGCAATGATATTGAAATAATATAGTAACAGTATATATTTGCTAAATTGCAGCATTGGTCAGATGTTTAGATTTGGTGATTCATTTAGGTTACTCTGGGCTACTGTGATAAAATGTCAGTATTTCATTTATTTATTTTACTGCAATTCTTCCACAAATTTTACAAGTGTTACATTTCTAATTTGTATGTTTTATTAATGTTTCTCTATTGGCATTAGCAGAAATATACATGGGAAAAATGCCTGATGTAGGCAATTCATATCGGTGCATCCCTAGTTCCAGTCTTGCATTTTCAAAAATAGGCAACTTGGCTGTTTGCAAAGGAGGACACTCGGAGGACACTTCCTCAGTCCAAGAACTGTGCTGTGTTGGACTTCTGTTTTTCCTATGTGTGGATGCCTTTGATTAAATTGTCTTTTATATGGTACCAAGTAAAGTATTTAATGTGTATGTGTGCGTGTGTGTGGGTGAATAGCAGCGCAGCGGGGAGGCAGTGAAGGTGCACCAGCTCGATGTTGCTATTCCACTGCACCTGAAGAGCCAGCTAAAGAGAGGCCCTGCACCTTCTTGTACAGCAGACACAGACGCAGACATCAACGACACCATGCAATTTGTCATGCTGACCAGGAAAGGCAACAAACAACAGGTCCGTGTATGTATGTGTGTGTGTGTGCGTGTGTGTGTGTTGGCTGTGGAATGTGTGGTTTTGGGCCGAAGCGGTAGGGTGTGTTCAGGAAGTGGCTTTGGGAGAGTAAACTGCAGCACACAGAACCGTGCACTGTTGAGAAGCTACTCACACACACAGCCCTCTACACTACTTTACTGTACTCTGCTCCACGTTTCTGTGTACTTTCTGCTTAATCTCACTGCAACCCCCTGCTGTCATAATGCTGGTCGCCTACATTACATTACACTGTATTACTGATTCAAATAAACTTAGTTTTTTTGTGTGGACTGAAATTTTGTTCTCTGTAGTTTAAGATCCTGAACGTGCCACTGTCATCTCACCTGGCTGCCAATCACTTCAACCAGCAGCAGGCAGAACAAGAGGAGCGCATGCGTATGAAGAAGCTCACTTTGGACATCAATGAGCGACAGGAACAGGAGGACTACCAGGGTGAGAAGACAAAATGTGTTATGGTTATGTAGGTTATGTTTACATTACAGAACTCAAGTGGCACAAATCCTGATATTTTGCCTAAACGTAACAGATATTTTGTTTTTCAGAGCTATGTGAACACAAAAATCTGATCTTTCAAATCTTTTCAAATCGATTTAGGCTGTGTGTGATTTTTTTTGACATATCAGATTTGAGCAGGGCAGATTTTCTGCAGTCTGCATGACAGAAAGCCACATTAAGTCTGACTTTTTCCAAACAGATTTAAATCACATTTCTGGATATGTGAATTAGCTTGACCGGCCAGATCAAATTTCATGTGCTTTTGTTTGTTTTTTTGTTTTTTTTGTTTTTTTTAATTATTATTTAAATCATTCATGATACAGTGGTTCATGAAGTCAGAAGTCAGCAGCACACGTTCACATATTACAGCTTAAACACAGACAGTAGAACTTTTGTGGTATAACATTTAGGTAACATTCTGTACTTTGTGTTGTAGTTTACAGTGACTGCTTCATTAACTTCATTTGAAATTAAAGCCTCTCTCTGTAGTACTATTATAGCCTATAGCTTGTTAGCAATTTGGTGACCAGGTCAGCCTACACCAATGACATGTTCTGTTCTTGCTGTAGTTAATATAAAGTGAAACAACATTGTCAAATATAGCGTCATCGTTCTATTAGGTAGCCAACGTACGGCTTTACTACGGCAACCAGTTTGGATATGCAAGCAAATGCTACTACAGTCTGACAATTGTAACTCTTTACTTGTAACTGTGAATTTGAACTGTTGGTCTAAAAAGTCAAATATAAGCAACAAAACCAGTTTGCTCTGCAGTGTGAACAAAGCTATACATATGCAATAACCAAACATAACGTCATCTTCATTTACTTTTTTTGTTGTCTCTATTTTTATTTTATTTTATTTTTTTTGGCAGGAGTGTTTACATTTATAAATCAATAGAGCAATAAGGCTTATGTGAACGTAGCCTTTGATGCACAATTAACATTAGCAGTACCTTACTATAAATACCTGGGCCTGTGCTTTTATTGACTTAATTTGTATGCACAAACAGAGATGATGCAGTCGCTGGCTCAGAGACCTGCACCTGCCAACACAAACCGAGAGCGCCGCCCACGCTATCAGCACCCTAAAGGGGCTCCTAATGCAGACCTGATATTCAAGACTGGGGGGAGGTAAGACATGCTGAAAGAACGAGTATATATGGTGTATATGCTGGCTGCTATATATATATATGTGTATCTGTGGTGTATGTTCACTGTGGTCAGGCTCACGGTATACTGTGAGTAATTGCTGGTTGCTGTATCTGTGGGCAGAAAGCAGGAGAGTAGGGCGAGCCAAAGGCGCAATCGAGTTTGACTAAAATTGGAGGGAGAGAGGCAGCACAGCTAGGAAAGCAGCCATGCTGATACAGTCCATCCAGCGCCAGTCATCCAGCCTGAAACTGCTCCTATACATCATACTCACGTCAGTCTGCTGTGGCAGTTCCAGCAGAGACTGAAGAGACTGACAATTATTGTCACCCTCTCTACAGCAGTTTCATCTAGGCCACAGATGCCAGACAGTCCACATCAGACATGTTAACTAAAGGCTGAATAATTTTGTTTTTGCTTAAGACGCATATGTAAATAAAGCATGTTTACCACCTGCATGTTTCTTTTGTTCGATGTCAGATATAATTTCTCCATGACAAAAATGTCTGTCCAACATTATTTATGCAATAAATATTTTTTGCATGTGTATTTGAGGTCGTGGCTCTGTCTAACTGAACAAGAGTACACACAAACACTTGCATCCACACATAAACATCCAACATCCATCTGAGCCTTGGTGTTGCTGCACATCGCTGTACAAAGGGACATGGACTTCAGTGGTGTGTCTGTTTCGGGGGGGGGGTGTTTGGTTGGCCGCTCACAGTAAACCTGCTGTTCTGCTTTGTAGGAGACGCTGATTGAGCGAGCGAGTGATCGCGTGAAGGAGAGAGAGAAACAGAAAGCGAGAGCACGGTGCACTTGGTCTTCCCTGTACTGGCAGGGAGTGCGCACCTGCTACAGACAGACCTACAGACTCCAACCTCACCATGGCAACCTGAGAGGAGAGCGGGAGAGGAGGAAAGATGAGCATCATCAGCTGCAGAGCTGGAGGAATTCCACCTCCAGCACAGCTCACACACAGACACGGACAGACCCACACATATACATGTACAGACAGACGGTGAGACGGACGGACAGACCGACAGGCTCCAGAGCGAAGACTGAGGCGTGTGTGGTTGTTTGTGACGGGCTCAGTGAGTGGTGTGAGAGAGTTCAGTTGTTTCTTCTTTAAACCGCTGGTAAATAGAGGAGCTCTCTCCTTTTGGCAATGTTACACAGCACGAGTCAACCTCCACATCATACTATGACGAGGAGAAAGTGGTACAGTGACCAAGCGAGAGATGCAAGAATGTAGTGCTGTTTGTGCAAATCAAAATGAGGACTGAATCTTCACAAAGGCAGCTTGACAGATTGAAGTGTGAGGGTACTGTGGGACGTGCTGTTTTCCTCAGCCGGAGCAGAGGAGGAGTTAATTGGAGGGAATTATTGTTTATTTTTTTCATGGGCAAGCCTTTGACACATTTCTGCGTTGTAGACCTTTTGCACTCCCAGATCTTTTCTTTCTTTCTGCTTTGTGCTGTACAGCAGCAATTCAACAAATGAGCAAGTGCTTTCTCTGTAAAACAAGGCTGATTTCAGATTAACTGATGGGTTTCTTTGTGATTTTCTCTCTGTTCAGTAGCTTATATTCTCAATATATGAATGTGTACTTAGAGACGGCTTAGGCCAACAACACAAGCTTTATGTCAGTGAATATTGATAATATTGCATTAAAGTGACTTCATTGCTGTGGAGTTTGTATCTGATTGACCTCATCTGTTTGTCATTGCTGTGTTAAAGTGATGTGATGATGAGTACAGGACGTCCTCCAAAACATGGAATATGGAAGTGAAACATGAGCCCTGTGTATGGGTATGATTTAATATAATGTTCAGTTGTCATGAGTATTTGGATCAGGTGTGTTGAGAGCAGGGAGAACACTAAATTGTGCAGGGCAGTGAGCCTCCAGGGCCAGAGATGAGAAACTATTATGTTATTATTATTACTATTATTATTTATTATATAGTAAAATCCTACTGGAAAGAAACTTTAGAAAGCATTAAAAGTTTCACTTGGTTCCTGATTGTGTCCAGTAGTCAGTGATGGTATTTTGTGTTTTCCGGGTGGGTTGATATCACAGTGTAAAGCAGTGGTCACCAAACATTTCCTTTCCTGCAGAGTGAAGTTCCAAATGTAATTCAGAAGTCCTTGATTGGCTGCATCAGATGCATTAGTGGTAGGTAATGGGATGGGCAGCTAGTTATTGCAGGTTGGAACTCTACAGGAAAGTAGATCTCCAGGACGAGGGGTGACCCCTGGTGTAAAGCTCTTTCACAGCCCTGGTCCTAGAAACCCACTGTCCTGCACGTTTTAGTGCTTTTCCTGCTTTAACACTCAACAGTGGGCTGTTAATGAGCTTATCAGATGGATCAGGAGAGTTGAGAGCAGAGAAAACATTAAACAGTACAGGGCAGTGGGCCTCCAGGACCAGAGTTGAGAAACACTGCGAGATTCTAATGGTTCAACAGCTGTTCAGGGACGGAGTCTAGATCCATCTGATGGTTTTCTACCGGGATCTAAAAGTGTCTTACAGGAAACTAGTGGTCTATATATTATCAGTAAGTTTTTTTTTTTTTCCTAAAGGTCTTTTTCAGCAGGGAAGTTACACTGAAGTTACATGTCTACAGTGCTCCATCTCACTCAAACCACTCAGAGTAATGTGTACATCTCACTGACAATAAGTGCGTTGTGTAGAGATGTTTAAAAATAGGTGGAATTCCCCTTTGAATCAGTGTCACATAGTCTTCTTAACTGAAATAATTTAACATACACCTTTTAGCAGGAAACAGCCCACTAAATCAAGCATGTAGTAAATCACAATTTGCCATATGAGGCAGACAAAGCTAACATCTTGGAACATATAAAAAGGAGTGGTAAAGATGTGAGTCCCTGGCGTTCCAAACAGTCACTCTATGATTGCTACCTTTGAAGCACAGCTCATCTGACAGGAAGCTGTGCATGTGTGAGAGTCAGCTGGCTGTAGGCAGAGTAACCGTACCTGTCTGAGCACACCGGCAGCCTGTTCTGCTGCATTCTTCTCTGACTGACATGTCAGGCCTGTTTCAGAGGAACAGAGCAGAACAAAGAAATGACATTAACCAGCTTCACCTGTGCTGCTGCTGACTGAACTCACTGTGCAGTTTTCACTCCTGGTCTCCATCACAGCAGGTAGAGCCACACCAAACCCCGTTATCTCACCACACACATCTGAACATAAACACAGGGAGGACTGGATGCTTAATCATCACTCAGGAATCAAGATAGAAACACTGGATTGGAACGCTTATTAAAATGCTTTTAGAATTCTGATCTGTTTCTGTTTCAGCCTTTTTCATGACATCACTGCAGAAAACAACCAGTACAAGCTTTGAGATTAACTTTTATATATGAAATTTTGTGTTTATTATTGGAATTGGAGAAAATGGCATAGTTTCAGACATAAAAAGACATTTACAAATACTGCAGTACTTTATAATGATAATGAAATTGGATTGGTATATCTAATGTTTGATTAGAAAAATACAGAAGGGCAAATCCTTATTGTGGAATCTGTCAAAATCTTTGATATCCTTATATCAAAGCAGGTTTGTGCTCATAGTGTGCTTTTCGGACCAAACATTTGCCAAGTCTTATCTTCCTCGCATAGGCAGCTTTGTCTGAAATGTCCTGCTGTGTACTGGTACTCAGTGTGTTACTGAGTAACTGAACCCCTGAGAACAACGACACGAAATAAAGTGCATTTGGTAAACTACAGATTTCATCCAAAGAATGTGCTGGTATTGAGAGAACCTCTAATTGAATTATAGACCCCATTTTTCTCAGTAAACACCAACTGACCACTTCATTAAGTACACGTCCTTGTACCTGCTTTGTCCATTTTATCAGCTCCACTAACCATACAGGTGCACTTTGTAGTTCTACTATTACAGACCGTAGACCATCTGTTTCTCTGTGTACTCTGTTAAACTATTCTCAAGGCCAACACAAGACCACTACAGAGCAGGTTAGCAGGTACTATCTGGGTGGTGGATCATTCTCAGCACTGCAGTGACACTGACGTGGTGGTGGTGTGTTAGTGTGTGTTGTGCTGGTCTGAGTGGATCAGACACAGCAGTGCTGCTGGAGTTTTAAACACCTCAGTGTCACTGCTGGACTGAGAATAGTCCACCAACCAAAAATATCCAGCCAACAGTGTCCTGTGGGCAGCGTCCTGTGACCACTGATGAAGAACTAGAAGATGACCAACACAAACTGTGCAGCAGCAGATGAGCTATCGTCTCTGACTTTACATCTACAAGGTGGACTGACAAGGTAGGAGTGTCTAATAGAGTGGACAGACACTAACACACCACCACCACATCAGTGTTGCTGCAGTGCTGAGAACAATCCACCACCCAAATGGTACCTGCTCTGTGGTGCTGTGGGGGTCCTAATCGTTGAAGAACAGGGTGAAAGAGAAACAGATGGGTTACAGTCTGTAATCACTTTTCAGCAAAAAAAAAACATGGCAGCTTTAACAGCTTCCAAAAAATCTATTTTGAAAGGTTGATTTGTGTCAGATATTCAGTTATTTTCATCTTGGCATTGCTCATTTTTTGATATTCTTATTTTGGAGCAGGCCACAGCCAGACCTCATAAGGCAAAGGCCACAGCTATTTTACTGATTCTACTAATTTGGACATTTCCACATATAAACACATACAAATAGTTATGCAACAACAAGAGAGGGAGGGGGAATACATTTTAGGACTAAGGACAGAGGTGTAGTAGTTTCCCAATGCACCAATAATTATTGCTCATTGTCTGTCATCTGTTTTACACTAGCTGGTCTACCTTTCCTTATTTATCTGTAATTCATGTTTTTACATTTGAAACTCTTATGGTACAAATGGCAGCAGATTCTGTGTCTAGTTCCCTTCTTTACTCTCAGGACTACCAGCCTCAGTCACATTCTTAGCATGTGACCCATTTGGATTTTTGATACTGAGCTAAACATCATGGCCGCCTTTCAGCATCCTAATTCCTCATGGCCCACATTAGTAAGAACATTTGCAAACCGCATTAGGCATAATTCAGGAGATTCAGAGCAGTGCTAATAGTTCTGAAAAGTAGTCTGGTGAGGCTGAAGAATGAACCACAACCCCCCAGATTGAGGCTTCACTCGATGAGTCTTTTTCACCGTAAAGAAACAAAAGTTTACCAAAACTTTATTTACTTATTTATTTTTAAGAGTATATCCACTCTGGTCTGGTTTGGGGTGTAACTGAGCCTAAATGGCTTTGTTAAATTTCCCTCTGAATTTCACTGTAATAGACTGACCGATGACTAATGCACTGTTGACTGACTGTCCTAATGAATTTCATGCAGTTTAATGCAAACTACATACAGTTACATATCTCCATTATTTAACCATAATAATTAACCATTTATAAAGCACTACTTTCATTCTATTCTATAGTCTCTGAACACACAAGCACAAATCGTGAGGGCAATGATACACTGTTTATTCAAGAAGAGAAGAGGCAGAAGATGATACAGAAATCTGCATAATAATTTAGCCAAAACAGAATAAACAACAAATTTGTCATAAAACATCTATGGCTGTGTCCCTAACTGCAGCTGCACTGTTTATGAAGCCTGAAGAGAAAAACAAAGAGTGTGTTCGGTGTGTGTGTGTGTGTGAAGCACACTTGTGAGTTTCAAATCCTTCAATTAGAATTGTAGAACTGCTACAAAAACCGGAGTCTTACTTAAAAGAAAACACACACAAACACACACACACACACACACATACACATACACACACACACACACACACACAAAGTCAACACATAAATCACCAATGTGCCAGAACATGGCAGTATTTCATTCCACACATTTCTCTCTCATACACACATGCATACACACACACACACACACACACACACACACACCTTGGATTTTACACCGCTCTTTGCATAATAAAACAGCAGCACTGATGAAGAAAGGGTCCAGAAAAGAGCATCACTGAGGGACAGTCCAAGCAACAGAAACAAAAAAAAGGTTACACATTTTCTCTCAGAACTCCAGAAGCTCTGAAAGCCAGATTTGGATCACTGTGGTTTAGTGGGGGAGGCACTGCCATCAAATGTAAAAATATCCTGTAGGCAGAGGCATGGAGCTGAGCAAGAGCAGCAGCCCAGCTCTCACTTCTGACGTCCTTTTCCACTCAGGAACAAGAACATTTCACAACTCTTCAATAACATGACAATAAATACATTATTTGCTGTGACATGCTGTCAAATTGCTGAAGTTTAGGCAGATGACACACTAGACAAGGGTAAGAGAGAGGACAACTCACTGAAAATAATGTGTATGTGTCAGCTGAACATCACCATTTACATTTAACAAAGACTGATACCCTGCATATCACACAATCATTATAGTTCCTCCTTATTAGAACAAACTGACTTGATGGCCTTTGCTTAGTCACACATATGACAATGATATACTTTGTGCTTAAAGCCACATTCCCGTCAGAATTAATTTCAAAAAAGTTTGTCACAGTGGCAGAGTGAGGGTGAAAGAAAGAGAACAAATTTATGTATGATCTCTCACTCACTGGCCCGTGTTTACCAAATATATCAGATTATGAATGCTAATCTAAGATCAGGTCTCATGAGTTCATGTAATCCTGATCAGTTATATAAAAGGTGAAAGCTGAACCTAGATCAGCGTTATTACTTTGAAAAGTTATAGAAGCGGATAAATATGGACACTGACACTTCAATGTTAGATAACAAACGCTATTAATCTCCATTCATTTTTAACAAATAGGAATGACCTACATTTAACATCTCTTTGGTTGCTATTAGCAATGCATCGATATGGGAATTTTGGGCCAATGCTGAAATTCAAAACCATATGTTGATGTTGATACATAAGCATTTATAAATTGTAGAAATTGGGACTGTTTCTATCTGGCTTAGCAATCCATAAAAATAAAATATTTATTCCTGTAATAAACAGAATTACAGGAAGACAGTTTAACTCAGTAGCTTAGCACTGTCTTAATCTTCTGCTTTTAGGTTTGAAATATCAGTCAAATCTAAACATCTGTTTGATTGCATTTTTTTAAAATAAATATCTCCTGATACACATATGATTGATATTATCGTGCATGGAAGGAAAAAGAAGTATTGATTTTATAAGCCAACTGAGGCTCTGTATTAAACTATTTCTTCTTTGGGATTTCTGGTGCAACGCTGGCGTGGCTCTGGAGTAGCACTTAAAGAGTAGAGGACTGGAACTCACTGAGGGTTCAAAAGAGCAGAGAGAGCCTGAGCAGCACTTATAGAGGGAGGTGAGCAGCGGAGTGTGATTTTTCTTGCTCTTCTTCAGAAAGTCTTTAGTATCACCAGCAATCTACTTGTCACACAGTCCTTTACAACTATAATTTGGATACCAGGCAGTATCACACACAGCTGAAGCCCTAGTACTGACTGAACTCTTACAAGTGTGGACTTTCATTAATTCAACACTGCTAACTCAACACTGGGGTGTTTACTGGGCCAAGAGTATGGAAAAACTGCTGGGTAGCAACCTGTACTTCTGTCTCTGTTCCACAGAGATTCCTGCACAGTGTACCTTTTTAAAGGAGTCTTCAGAAAATTTGTAAAGCTTAAGAAAATCAAGAACAAAATGTGAGCTTGTAACTTGATGCATGTTTTAACCTCTTCACCAACAGGCTGGCCCACTTATCTATATTAGCTAAAGATCTATGAATTACTACAAGTGACTTAAGTTAAGAGAATGGCCGCTTTCCTCTTTTTAGACTCTTACATTTGAGTGTCATTGGTGGTGCTCGGTGGATTATTGTAATATTATTGTAAATTACTAACTATTAAGTAATATTTCTTCTTAAATATTTTTCATTAGATTAATTGTAATTAAAAGAACAATTACTGAGTACATACTCAAAATAATACTATTACCGTTAAGCTGAAACAAACGAAAGTGCTCCTATCTAACAGGCAACTGCATAGTGTAAGAGTACAATAATCCCTTAATGATGCTGGGATGAGGGTTTAAGAGGTGTTCTTCAGCAGTCCCAGTTTGCGTAAAGCATCTCGCCTGGCGTCGTCCGTGGCTCCTTTCCCAGAGAACTGCACCGTTACTCCCTGAGTGCGGAAGGAAGATTTGGACGGAGGCTTGCCGCGGATTTCTTGAGGAATCGGGTCAGGCCGTGGCCTCAGAGATCCAGTGGGCCGCTGTGGTCTGGGGGCAGGCGCGGGAGGCATTGTAGCAAGCCTGCTCCTGCTTAAAGGCTGGTAAACTGGGTCAGGGTGCAAGGGGCTTACTGCTTTGGGTTTAGCCTCATGGCTGTTTAGGTCTGGCTGTGCTTCATCTCTGACTGTGCTGAAGTAGGGGAGGCCCGTGTGTTGGCCGTCAGCTTTAGCTGGTGGGAAGATCCTGGATTTGCTTCCGGTCGGGCTGTGCGGGTCAGTGCGGTGGGTTGAGGCCGTGATGGTGCTGGATGGTGAGGAACTGTGGGAGCGGGGTCTGCAGGCAGGCCCGTCCGGCAGGTCTGTTTGCGCAGAAGGGTTTATGACTCGGGATTTGCCACCATAGCTGTTAATCTGGACCTCTGCTGGCTCTGGCCTGACAATCGGAGTGCTGGGGGAAGGGACAGACTCAGCCCTGAAGCTCGCTGTGGGATTTAGCATGATGGTCTTGCCGCCGTAGCTGTTGAAGTCACTGTGTGTCACCTCTGCGCTGACTGGTGCTGTGTTAGATCTTTTGTCATGGTTAGCATGGTTAGCCAAAGTGTCTGTAGAAGCAGGTGTGATTACAGCTGATTTACCACCATAGCTGTTAAAGCTGCTGGTAGAAAATTCACTCCTAGCTTTTGGCTCATAGCTGCTGGTGCTTGACTGAGTGACCATGGTGCTGCTGTTCTTCTTCTGACTGATAGTGGTGTTTGGACTGGTATTAGCATGATTAACAGTATTGTTATAGGTATGAGCACTGCTGCTAGTAGTGGCACTATTGCTCACTTTATAAGGTCTGCTGTTCTTCTGACTGACAGTGGTGTTAGGACTGATATTAGCATTATTAACAATGTTGCTGTAGGTATGAGTACTGCTGCTAGAAACTTCAGCACTGCTTCCAACTTTGCCGTTAGCAGAATTAGCGCTGCTCTGTGTCTTTGTGCCTGTCACTGGTATCATATTGGCTGGCATTGTTTTAGCTTGGGTCAGCCCCAACATGGACAACGCCTCCATCCTGGATTTGTCTAGAGCTGGGTCTCTGAATGATACACTCCGTAACGGGGGTTTGCTGACACAGGCTGGCTCTCCGCCCTCCAGAGGGTGGGCAGAGGGAGGAAGATTGGCTAACATCTGTGAACGACGCTCCTGCATGTTGACTGCCACTGTAGCGACGGACTGGGGGCTTGGTTCTCGGCTGCCTAGCATCATGTTGATGTTGTCGGGGAGTCGGTGGGGCTTGGCATGGGTGGGTGGCCCGCGTCTGGAGGGTGGACTGTTTGGAGACTCCAGGCTTTGTCTGCGCTGAACCAGCACTGAGGGCAATGAAGAGGTGCCACTTGTGCCCTGATGCTCTGCAATCTTGCTGGCAATGATGACGGGTGTGGGGACAGAGCCTGGAGGAGGCTGGTGGCTGCTTTCCTCAAATGCATCAGAGCCTGTAGATGTGACTGAGACGCTCTCCGTGGGGTTCCTCTTCGGCTTGACCTCGAAATGAGCCACTGGTGTTACAGCCAGGCTCTGAAAATCTGAAAGAGAGGAGAGGCACAGAAAAATGTTCAGCATTACAGTTTCTACAGTTGTTGACTTCATAAATTGCAGCCTTATGATTCACTAATCTTAAGACTTAAGAATATTATGAATAATTCAGTAACTACTATGAAACTAATCTGTAAGTTATGTAGTTGTGAGGTCCTTTTAGTTTAAGGAGTTAAAAACCAAAGCACAGCAGCAGCTTTGCTAAACTAGATTAAGTGCATTATTGTCAGTCTAAAGGTATTCATTGAATATTAATATGGGTTGCAGCATCTTAGAGCGGTGGTTGGCGACTCTGTGCTGGAGTACCTCTGCTCTGCATGTTTTGATGTTTTAACTACTATAACACACGTGATCCACCAAATTAGATAATTAACAAGCCCTTCCTGAGTTGAAGTGGGTGTGTTACACTGTGTTAATGACCAAGTTGGCCCTGAAAATGTCCATCTCCAACAGAGAAAAATCCATTTGAATGTCTCTCCTACTTGTAATTCAGAAAGACAGAGCTTCTCAAGTGTTCCAGCTTCTCCAAATTAGTAATCCATGAGGTGCCCATAGAACAAGAAGTAATGGGTTATTTAAAGCTTTTAAAACAAACGTTGGAGTTTCTGTTTGTGCATGATATGCTATTTGTGTATAATGCCAATAAACAAGGGGATACTTGGATAATTGTAAGGTTAAGTCATTCTGTGCAAGAGTTTTTGATCTAACTGCACACTTTTATGTCGTTTTTAACACTATATTAATGGTGACTTGTAATAGCTTTTAAATGAAGCGCTAACTAAATAGCTCTTTAATTCAACTGTAAACACTTTTTAAAGAGTCTTTTATACCCACACAGCAGCCAAACAAGCATTCTTTTACTGTTAGCGTCTACTGTTTTCCAACCTCAAACAGCTGAAACTGCATGAACACTTTTAGGTGGGATTCCTAGTTGGAAAACTCAGAGCTCCCAATTGCCATTAACATATCATTAGAACAGGAAAAACACTCAAACACACAGGGCAGGGGTACTGAAGGACTAGAGGTCTGGAAACAAGAGCAGAATGATATGACCTAACACAAGGGTACATATAAAAAAGTCTCTGATAAGCAGTTTACATTATTGAACTACAGTACCTGGCATGGGGAAGTCCGGTGTGGAGTGGACCAGGTCGATGATGTCATGCTCTATCAGGCTTGGGGCAGTAGCTGTAATGGGGGCGGGGCTTACAGTTGAATGGGGTGCAGTTTGAAGATTATCCAGAGTTGTGCTTCTGTCTGGTGTTAACCCTGTACCATCTTCCTCGAGACCATCATCCAGAGAATCGATAGTCTCCTCAAAGAAAAGAATGCACTCCTTCTCCTCCAGACTGAGAAACTGCAGGCTGTCTTCTTTCTAGAGAGAGAAGCAGAGAAACTGCTGAAATACTGTCAGCAGATATCTGTACACAGCCGCTGTTCAGTATGGGCTGATTTGTAACTGAATATTTGTTCTGCTTGCTCTCATTTTCCTGAGAGTACAAGGCAGCAAGATAATTAGTGGCTGCATGTGTGAAAGGGAAATATCTATCAACAAGGCATTTTCACAACCCACTCAACTTCTTTCACAACAATTGAAAATGCTGTATATCCCTCTGTGATGTTTTTGGATATACGTTTTTGAGAAGAATAGCCGCTGATGTTCATGGAAAACTCTTTTTTATCATATCATCATAGAGCACTGGTGTTTCTTGTATGTATAAAGCCCTCCCAACAATGTATATCTTGAAATATATATTGTTAGGAAGAAAACTCTTCACTCTATAAAGGGGCATGCTTACTTTTAAGAAACAGAAAACACAAATGTGGACCATCTGCTTCATTAGCCATTACAAATTAGAAATTGTGATGAATGGACCAACAGAAATGCTTCAAAATGACTTGGAATAAAATCTCATTACATTAACTTACATTAGAAGTTAAGAATGTTTTTTATCTTCTGTAAAGTTACTATTTTAAGATACATGTTTTTTTTGTTGTTTTCTTTTTGGACAGTGAACATTTGCAATGTTCTGGTTAGCAGTGCCACACACATCGCAACATTTCACTTATACAAATGTACTAAGCGTAGTCACCTTCTATATGAAAGAATGCACACACAGTCCAGAAAGGGAGGGACACTGTAAAAAGAGGGAGTGAGCACACAGTGGTTCTCCTTCTCTTCATGTTTTTATATTTTGTTTGTGTTCCACTTTACAGTAGAGAGTCACTCCCTGCGATTTATAGAAGAGACATGGGGCAGGCACTAAAAACACTAAAAGAGAGGCATTTTTATTCTGTCTCATTCTGAAACAGCTTGACTGAGTGAAGAAATGCCTCTCAGCTCTGCCTCTCCTCCATTCACATACACAACACAGTGCAACTCAGTGTCCAGCTAGACAGGAGCCTCCTCTCGTCTGCATGTGTATGTGTGAGTGAACAGTGGGCTGTTTGTTTCTTCAGCCCCGTGCTCCCACCCCTCAAGCCACCACGTCCAGCTTTGAGGTGGAAAGGAGGATCACTCCACCTGCTGCTTCGCAGGAGCTCTGAGGGCGGGGCGGTGTGTGAGGCAGAGAGGCTTCAGAAATAGAACATGAAGTCAGCCTCTAAGATTAGGCAAGGCCAGGTACCTTTACTCCAGTGGTTCCCACCCCAGTCCTGACGTACACTTACATTAACATGTATTCATTCAGCAGATGTTCCTATACAGAACGACTAATAAAATGTGCAAACAGTGGACGCCACACTGGTACAAAGTACTCACAGAATCTGCAAAGAGTCCAGTCATAGTTTTAAGGGCCCATTTCCTCGATTTTTCTTGAATTGTATTTTTGTATTTTTCTTCACTGGGGTGAATTCATTTTTACATGACCATTTTCCAACCTCTTTATCAATTAGAATTAAGTAGCCTGTGTTTGTTACTGTGCCTTTGAGATCGATAGATGTAAATAAGTTCTGATTGGCTGCCCTGTATTGAACCCCATTCAAAAGCAGTCCAAAGTGAAACACTCCTTATGACTTTAATGCGAATGGGTGGAGCTAAACTGCTGTAGGCTGAACAAGCATATATATGCAGATAGATTGGTTTTCATGATATACAAAAACAGTAAGTTAAAAACAGGCTGTTTTTGCAGCTAAGTTTCCAAATATGGACCATATGGACTGAGGAGTCATCGCCATGTTTTAAGCAGTGTTTACATACTATATTGACCTTTTTTATTTTAAAAAAGTGAAGATTTTTTTTTTCCTTTATATGAGCCCTTTAATCTAGTTCAATTACCACAAATGTAAACTCTGAGGGCAAATAATAATGAGAGTTGGATTAGGTATGTGAGAGCAGGGAAAACACAAGAATACTTCCTTGAATGAATCTTTGGTTGCACTGTTTGAATCTGTCTAGTATAAGGTAGAAGGCAGTCATGCTAAGTTATTAACTGCATGACTGAAGTTTTTTGATGGGTTAATCGATAAATGTTGTGATTTTACAGGAATAACAGGTCTCTGTAGGTCCTCCAGAGAGAGCGAAGGAGAGAGAGAGCAGGAGGAAAGAGGCAGAACCAGCTTTTCTGCTTGTGCCGAATGCAGAGAGAAACTGAGGCTCTCACATTACTCTGACTTTGTGATGAAAACAATGCTGCAGGCTCTGTGGCAGTGCGCCTGGAACTGCTCTGTTTCTGACATTATGAAAAGAACAATCCCCATACAACTCAAATACAACGAGGTAATGACCATTAGAGCACACGTGTGTTTATGTGGATGTCAGAGAGAGAGAGAGAGAGAGAGAGAGAGAGAGAGAGGGAGAGAGAGAGAGAGAGAGAATTTCAGAAGCCTCTCTTCCATCCGTCCGTCTGTCCTGTGGTGCTGTGGAGTTACTGACTTTATTAACACATTAATATTCTCCTGTTGTGTTCTGTAATGGGCTCTAATCTGTAACAGGCTGCTCCTTTTTCCACTCTTTGGGAAATAACAATGCTACTCCTAGAAATGATACGAATATACACAAACACATCCGGGATGGAAAGCCACACCTGGTAGAAAGTATGAAGAGCACAATGAGCTGTCCTGTCAAACACAGTCCAAAAAATTGCAGAAGAACTGGTTTCTCCCTAAGCACTGTGTGTACACAGTTCAGGTATGTGTGTTTAGCGTGTGTGTGTGTGTGTGTGTGTGACAGAGAAGGAGACAGAGAGAATGTATGAGTCTATCTTTGATTATACATTAACAATTGTGTGTTCATGCACCTCTCTTTGTGAGCGTTTGTCTGTTCTCATTCAGGTGTACGTCATTTGGCGTGACCACGTCTGTGTTAATCTGTGTGTGTTAGTTTCTAGTTTAGTGTAAAACCCATATATACTCACTGAATGAGGAGACTGGTGGTAGCCATTATGCCCATAGTGAAGGCGTGGATTGCCGTGCACATGAATGTCCATGGTCACCACGTCAAGGTCACCGTGTCTCGTGGAGCAGTCGAGCGGTGAAGGTCAACAGTTCAAACATCTCCGCTGATGCCACGGACCTCTGCTGGCCCCCACACCTGAAAGACACACAGTTTCACTGTAATGTGGAACTCATAATATTTTGTAGTCAAACACTCAGCCCTTTAAGTACTTTAACATATGGTGGCATTTAGTACACATATAGAATCATGACATAATGCAGGTCCTTGATAATTTAGTGCTGTGTAAGCTTAGTATGTTTGCTTTTTCTGTTTCTACCTAAAGCTCTGAGATCATATAGCATGACACAGCTACTTCATACAGTTGAGTGTTGGGGCCAGTCAGACTATTGTTCAAGCTTTTATACCAGCTGTAGGGCTGCACGGATGACAAATAGAGTAAATCTTATGTAAAAAGTTTGTAGTTGTTTTATCAACTACACCCAAAAATTATTAAAGAATAATTTAAATAGAAAATAAAAAATGTGATGAAGACCTCAAGGACTCAACCAGATGAAACAACCAAAATAAAATCTTTCCTGAGCACATGATCATGTTTAGTGTGGGATCTATGACTGATGACATTTTTGTCACTTGGTAGCAAACATCTGTTACTGATAACCCACTGTCCATTAAAGTGACCAATATTACTCACACTTATAACATATTGTCCATTAGAGTCACCAATAATAATTCTATTGACATTCTTTTGTCCATTACAGATACTAATGATACATCTACTGTTAACTTCCTGTCCATTAGAGTGACCAAAAATACTCTTATTACACTGGCCATTAGAGTTACCAATGATAATTCTACTGTTAACCTCCTGTCTATTCGGGTGACCAATAATACCCGTATGTATAACATACTGTCCATCAGAGTGACCAATAAAACTCTTACTTATACTGTCCATTAGAGTTACCAATAATACTTCTATTGATAACCTCCTGTCCATTACTGATACTAATTATAGTTCTACTGTTAACCCCCGGTCCATTGGAGTGACCAATAGCACTCTTATTCATAACTCACCATAAATTACCAATAGAGTTACCAATAGTACTTTTACTTAAACCTACTGCCCGTTAGAGTTAGCAATACTCCTACTGATAACCAACACACTGTCTATTAGAGTTACCAATAATATTTTTACTGATAACCTCCTGTCCACTGGAGTCTTCAAAACTACTCCCACTGATAGCCCACTGTCCATTAGAGTTATCAATAATAATCCTACTGAGACCTAAGGTCCATCAGAGTGACATATGATACTTTTTTCTGATAACTTGCTGTCCAACAGAGTGACCAATAATCCTCCTATAACCTACCGTCCATTGAAGTCAGCAGTAATTCAGCCGTTACTGTTAAACTACTTTTCAGTTTAGATTTTCCAGAATTATACTATTATTGACCATTAGTGCACATTAGCGTTGTCATTAATACAGTTCAACCACAAACGAAGTCTAAAGCTTATTTGTTAATGCCAGTAAGAAAAAAAATTTTCAGTACTTACATTCAAAAGTTTTAAAAAAAGAAAAATTACGTACCTCTGACTGAGGTCTGAAATCCAGTGTGAGATTAAAATCCACTTCGTGTGCGATGACTAGTTAAACGGCCTGTTGCTCTGGACTGGAAGGTGATGTGTTCCTCTCCGGCTGATCTGGTTAAGAGTCTGAGTGAAGCCCAGCAGCCCGTCCCGTTTTCCAGACTCGCCTCTCCGCCCGGCTCCTCCCTCAGGGCTTCTTTATTCCACCCGTATTCAGACAAACCCCGCCCCCCCCTGCACTGAGCTCATACTCACACTCGAGCACTAATCAGCCAATCGGAACGCAGAAGGGCGGGACATCTCGGAATACAGGTAGGAAAAACACATTCAAAGTAGCCCTGGCAGCAACACTCACTCTGACTGTTCAGTCTCTTAGTCCAGACACAAGACCTGAAAACAGCGTCCAGCAGCTTCTGCAGCACTTTTTATTGATTATGCTAATTGGAGCTTGTTTTTGTTAAAATTAGCGAGCAATCAGCTCTTGGTGAAGTTCAGAAACACTAGAGACACCTGCTCAGTGGTGTGTCTGTCAAAAGCTTCCAGTCTGTGGTTAAAAGATCAAAAGACGCTCTACTGCGGAGCTTAAAGTGTGAATGTGTGTAATAGTTTGATCGTGTGTGTTGTGAGGAGGAAGAGCAAACGCGGATTGTTTGGGGGAGTGGGGCAAAAACAGTGTTGAACCTCACCCCCTGACTAGCAGTTTTCTAATTAAAAAAAAAAAGAAATAAAGCATTTTAATTTAATGGCCAGATGTAAGCCTAATTTCTGGTCTTTGTAAATAAATATTCTGGCCCAAATTAATTTCTAAAACTAAATTAATTAATTTCTAAAACTAAATTAATTTAGCTTTTCTACGGTATCCATTTCAGTTCTTATAAAAAATATTATAGTAGAAGCACGGCACACTTACGTAAGAAGAAGACTGTATGAATTAAATTCCTGTGGCATTTTTCTAACACAAAAATGACAGCATTTGATTTGAGACTGCCTTCAATGATCTTATGATCCAGTAGATTCAGTTGGCATTGGGCTCCCTCTAGTGGCTGATCAGGGCTGCACACAGAGAAAGCTGGTTTGTGGGCTTTGGAGAGGATGAGGAGCAACTGCAGGAGAACCTTAATTCACTCCGCTCTCACACAGCTTCTCCAGTGTACCCCTTACTCACACACAGCTTCTCCAGTGTACCCCTTACTCACACACTGCTCTCCAGTGTACCTCTTACTCACACACTGCTCTCCAGTGTACCCCTTACTCACACACAACTTCTCCAGTGTAGCCCTTACTCACACACCGCTTGTCCAGTGTACCCCTTACTCACACACTGCTCTCCAGTGTACCTCTTACTCACACACTGCTCTCCAGCGTACCCCTTACTCACACACAGCTTCTCCAGTGTACCCCTTACTCACACACTGCTCTCCAGTGTACCTCTTACTCACACACTGCTCTCCAGCGTACCCCTTACTCACACACAGCTTCTCCAGCATACCCCTTACTCACACACAGCTTCTCCAGCGTACCCCTTACTCACACACAGCTTCTCCAGTGTACCCCTTACTCACACACTGCTCTCCAGTGTACCCCTTACTCACACACTGCTCTCCAGTGTACCCCTTACTCACACACGGCTTCTCCAGTGTAGCCCTTACTCACACACGCTTCTCCAGTGTACCCCTTACTCACACACTGCTCTCCAGTGTACCCCTTACTCACACACTGCTCTCCAGTGTACCCCTTACTCACACACTGCTCTCCAGTGTACCCCTTACTCACACACGGCTTCTCCAGTGTACCCCTTACTCACACACTGCTCTCCAGTGTACCCCTTACTCACACACGGCTTCTCCAGTGTACCTCTTACTCACACACCGCTTGTCCAGTGTACCCCTTACTCACACACTGCTCTCCAGTGTACCTCTTACTCACACACTGCTCTCCAGTGTACCCCTTACTCACACAAAGCTTCTCCAGTGTACCCCTTACTCACACACGGCTTCTCCAGTGTACCCCTTACTCACACACGGCTTCTTCAGTGTACCCCTTACTCACACACGGCTTCTCCAGTGTACCCCTTACTCACACACGGCTTCTCCAGTGTACCCCTTACTCACACACGGCTTCTCCAGCGTACCCCTTACTCACACACTGCTCTCCAGCGTGCCCCTTACTCACACACAGCTTCTCCAGTGTACCCCTTACTCACACACTGCTCTCCAGCGTGCCCTTTACTCACACACTCACACAAAGCTTCTCCAGTGTACCCCTTACTCACACACGGCTTCTCCAGTGTACCCCTTACTCACACACGGCTTCTCCAGCGTACCCCTTACTCACACACGGCTTCTCCAGTGTACCCCTTACTCACACACGGCTTCTCCAGCGTACCCCTTACTCACACACGGCTTCTCCAGTGTACCCCTTACTCACACACGGCTTCTCCAGCATACCCCTTACTCACACACGGCTTCTCCAGCGTACCCCTTACTCACACACTGCTCTCCAGCGTGCCTCTTACTCACACACGGCTTCTCCAGTGAACCCCTTACTCACACACGGCTTCTCCAGCGTGCCCCTTACTCACACACTGCTCTCCAGCGTGCCCTTTACTCACACACTCACACAAAGCTTCTCCAGTGTACCCCTTACTCACACACGGCTTCTCCAGCGTACCCCTTACTCACACACTGCTCTCCAGCGTGCCCTTTACTCACACACTCACACAAAGCTTCTCTAGTGTACCCCTTACTCACACACGGCTTCTCCAGCGTGCTCCTTACACACGGCCTCTCCAGTGTACCCCCTACTCACACACCGCTTCTCCAGCATGCCCCTTACTCACACACGGCTTCTCCAGCATGTTCCTTACTCACACACACACAAAGCTTCTCCAGTGTACCCCTTACTCACACACGGCTTCTCCAGCGTGCTCCTTACACACGGCCTCTCCAGCGTACCCCCTACTCACACACGGCTTCTCCAGCATGCCCCCTACTTACACACGGCTTCTCCAGTGTACCCCTTACTCAAACACAGCTTCTCCAGCGTGCTCCTTACTCATGCACAGCTTCTCCAGGGTGCCACTTACTTGTGCACAGCTTCTCCAGTGTGCCCCTTACTCATGCACAGCTTGTCCAGTGTGCTCCTTACTCATGCACAGCTTCTCCAGTGTGCCACTTACTTGCGCACAGCTTCTCCAGTGTGCCACTTACTTGCGCACAGCTTCTCCAGTGTGCCCCTTACTCATGCACAGCTTGTCCAGTGTGCCCCTGCCCAGCCTCTCACAGAAACCTGATACAGAGCCTCACATACAGGCTGCAGCTCTCAGAGCAGTCTGATATGATCTGCCCACATCACTGTTGTTTTTACTAGTGAAAGTTGTGACCTTTTGTCTTTTTAATGACTGTAGTGTAGAACTGTTAATTTGTAGAAAGGAGCGTAAAAGGCCTCACTGTGAAACTATTAAATGCAACTGGAATCATTCTCAGATCACCTGTTAAGCCATTAGAGTCCTTTACACTGTGATATCAACCCATCAGAAAAACACAAAACACCATTACTGAGTATCGGACCAGAAATCGATCAGAAATCAACAAAATTGCTTAATGGTTGTTTTTTTTTGTTCAGCAGGCTAAGCCAGTAAAATAAATCTTTAAAGTTATTTAAACCATGATGGTTTAAGAACTTGTACCTTATTACACAAGGTACGAGGGAGTTACTTGCTGGCTTCTCCAAGACACTATAAGTAGTAGTTAAGGGAAAATTTACACAGTCTTACCCCTGTAACATAGTCAAGTCCCATACAGAAATCTGGTATATGCATATATATGCCATACATCATAAAATATCAGGCATATGTTTCAATATATACAGTACTGTGAAAAAAGTTTTTCCCCTTCCCAATTTCTTCTATTATTAGTCACACTTGAATGGCCACACCCAGGCATGATTACTGCCAGACCTGTTGAATCTAAACATCACTTAAATAGAACCTGTCCGACAATGTAAAGCAGGCTAGAAGGTCTCAAAAAGCACCACATGATGCCATGTTCTAAAGAGAGTCAAATACAGATGCGAAACAAAGTAACTGAAATCTACCATCTGGAAAGGGTTACAAAGCCATTGCTAAGGCTCTGGGACTACAGTGAACCACAGTGAGAGCCATTATCTACAAATGGAACAGTAGTGAACAGTAGTGAACCTTCCCAGGAGTGGCTGGCCTAACAAAGTTTCACCAAGAGCGCATCAACGACTCATCCAGGAGGTCACAAAACAACCTGAACTAACATCTAAAGAACTGCAGGCCTCACTTGTCTTAGTTCAGGTCAATGTAGACATTTCCACAATAAGAAAAACACTGGGCAAAAATGGCATCCATGGGAGAGCTGGGCTGCACAAACCACTGCTGACCAAAAAGAACACAAAGGCTCATCTTGCATTTGCCAAAAACATCTAGATGACCCCCAAGACTTTAGGGATAATATTCTGTAGACTGATGAGTCAAAGGTGGAACTGAAAGACATGGGTCCCATTACATATGGCGTAAAGCTAACACCACATTCCACCTTAAGAACACTATACCAACAGTCAAACATGGTGGTGGTAGTATGATGGTCAGGGGCTGCTTTGCTTCTGCAGAACCTGGATGACTTAAATGATGTCATAATGAATGGAACCAAAAATTCTGCTCACTCACAGAAAATCCTGAAGGACCCCCTGTCAGTTTGTGACTTACAGCATATTTGGAAATCCATTCATTTATAATTCTGATGTTGTTTCACAATTTATCCCTGATAAAAAATGTATAAGCATATAGCATTTAGATTAAAATATGTAAAATATGAACTGATTGGGGATTAAACACACTGACACACGGGTCTAACTGAATCCTGAATGTATTAATTTAACATCTGAAATAACTTTAATTGAATTTTTATTCTAATCTTAAATTCATTTATCAATCTATCTATTCAATCTGTCTCTGTATGACTTCTAATTATTTCCTATTTATGAGAATCACATACTCCCATTCTCCCACTTCACAATCAGTTTTTGCAATCTATCAGTACAGATTTTGTGTGAACAGAACATTCAGGTCACCTGCTTAACAGCTGCTTAACAGTAAAGCATGTAATCAAATCTGAGTTACTACAATACAGTTCTACACCTGTTTTGGGGCTCAGCTATGGCCTGTTCACTCATTAGAAATTAGTCCATTCACGAAAGAGTCCAGTGAAGACTAACAGACAGTATAAGACATGCTACAATCACACATTTGAGTTATCAGTACAAATGTGGGCTGAAAACAGACATAAGCTACGAACAGTACTAACAGATGCACCTTAAAGGCTGACATTACGATTGCTTTACTCTCAGTGTATGTGGAATAAGGATGGACTGAACTTAAAGGAACAAAAAAATAAATAATAAAATAAAATGAAAACAGAAGATGAACATGTAAAAGAATTTAATGGGCCAGACAGTTGGTGTCTATTCCTCCACGTTGCTGGAACAGATTTTTCTGGATTCTCTTTCTGAACCTGAAAAGAAAACTAAGTCACAAACAGCTTATAAACAGACATAAGTGACGGGAAGCACATGAAGTACAGACAGAGGACAAAGAGACAGAACAAGAGAGAATGAGGGTTAAATGGTGGTCCAGGAAGCTTCTTTCAGAACAAGTTCAGCAGCGGACAGAAGCAGCAGCAGCTTATAAAAAGGAATAAC